TGCTGAAAAACTGGAAGACGCTCTGGAAGCAGATTAATCATCTGACTCAGTATTGTCTTTTAGTTTGCCACAAGAAATCTTTCCAATCTATGAGATCATGGATTAGCTGGTTGGAAAATTTAAAGAGAGGCATGAAGAACATTCCCTTTTTCTGCTGCCTTCTCTTTGAAACCTGCAGAATCTCAGCAAAGCATAAATGACAAATGACTCTTCTTTCCAAGCTTTACCACAAATATGTATTACAATGAAAAATCAGGCATGTGAATTGATACCCCCTCATTTTATCTAATTTTGGACATTGTAGGTGGCATTTATCTCATGAGATGTAGTTTTACAAGTTTGAGACAGTGATTTAGACTTGCTTGAATTGAGACTTTCTTGAAAAGAAATGGACACTTGTAGAAAGTGATTCACTTCAGATTTCTAAAAACCGGTTGCCTAAATTTCACTAAAAGTCCTTTTTCTTCCCATTGATGAAAAAGAGGCAATGATTAGTTCTGACATGCTGTCGATGCTACCCCATGTAGGTGGTATAATGTCTGTTTGTGGGCAAAAGTGGTGCTAGTGACTGATAAATAGATCTAATGCTTCAAGACAAGTTGTTTGGATTTGTATTTCCTTCATACACTTCTCAGGGTGGTGAACATCTGTGGGTTTTATGATAGCTAGATTGCAAAGAGGTCCCCAAATCTAAGTATATTGACACTGTTAGAGTTGTTAATGTTATGGAATTTAGCATCACAAAAAGTAACGTGTATCGACATAATGGTATTATTATATTGTAAAACTGCAGTAAGGTTTGTGAATTATTACTGCAAATTTCTATCTACGTAGATTACTTTTAAAAGCATGCTTTTTATTTCCTTGGATTCACCCAAAGTGTTTTGAGGATCTTTACATCATTACGATAAAGTGCTTTTCTCTCAGTTACTGTGACAGTGCAGCCAAAGCACACATGTAACTCAGATGCTGTGTTGAGTGCGTGTGTGGACCCAGCAAGGGATGATGTAGCCCCAGGCTGGACCACCCCAAGGCACAGCAGTTGATGGTCTCTTGGCACCCCGCAGCGGCCTTCCTCTGAACCCCCTGTGCTCCCCTCTCAGACCATTCTGTGTGAGTTCCTTAAGGATATGCTTCATCCATGAGAAAATGTGGAACTAGGTGCTATAAAATACATAGTCACTTTAAACTTAGTACTGGCTTGGGAACAATAATAATAAGAGGGCTCTACTCAGAGTCTAAATTGCGTTACAAATGTGTGCTAAAAATTTCCTTGCAAATGTTCTTTGCTGTGAGAATGAGCTATATACTATAGAGGCAGGTCACAAGTTAGGCTAATAATATAGCCTTTGCTCTTCTCGGCAGAATATATGACATCTGTGGTGATTTTGTTGTTGTTGTTTGGTTAGTATATGTGATTTTTTTTTTTTTCCTTTTCTGATACCCTACCACTTTGCTTTTTTGGCTGTGTTGAAGTTGCCACTTTATTGCTCAACATACTCAGATGTAATGATCTCAGTGGTAAGAACATTCCATCCTCTACTTGCATAACAAACAGGTTATGCTTATTTTACAATTGAGCTTTTCATTCATCAGAAAACATAGATTTACTATATCCTGTGCCACTTTTCTAGCTTCCTTGTATATGCATGCGAAGGGGAGGCAGAGTGAAATGTGACTGGACTCTAAGAAATCTTGTCTTCAGTTGCAGTCTTACTGAAAGTTGTTACAAATTTTATCCTTTTCTGCATCCTTGGAAGGGAACTGCATCCAGTGAGATAACCACCATAAAAAAAAGCAAGTTGTAGATTGCAGCAAGGATGAAGGTTATATTCCCAAGGAGCAGGAGGAATGGTGATGGTGGAAGCAGCAGACATCCTGCGTCCAGAGGAAGTGTTTGCTGCTGCCTGTCGGTCAGTGAGGATGTGAGGGGAAGAATCACAGTGGCAGCTGGGAGAAGGGGGGAAGAATCGTCAAATGTTTAGAGTTGGAAGGGACCTTAAAGATCATTTAGTCTCACCCCCCCTGCCATGGGGAGGGACACCTCCCACTAGACCAGGTTGCTCAAAGCCCCATCCAGCCTGGCCTTGAACATCTCCAGGGATGGGGCAGCCACAGCTTCTCTGGGCAACTTGTTCCAGTGTTTCAGCACCCTCAGAGTAAAGAATTTCTTCCTAATATCTAATCTAAATCTCCCCTCTTCCAGTTTGAAGCAGTCCCCCCTTGTCCTACCACTACATGCCCTTGTAAAAAGTCCCTCCTCATCTTTCCTGTAGGCCCCCTTTAAGTACCAGAAGGCTGCTATGAGGTCTCCCCAGAGCCTTCTCTTCTCCAGGCTTAAGACCCCCAACTCCCTCAGCCTGTGCTCATAGGAGAGGTGCTCCAGCCCTCGGATCATTTTTGTGGCCCTCCTTTGGACCTGCTCCAACAGGTCCATGTCTTTCCTGTGCTGAGGGCCCCAGTCCTGGACACCGTACTCCAGGTGGGGTCTCAGGAGAGCAGAGTAGAGGGGCAGAATCCCCTCCCTCGCCCTGCTGGCCACGCTGCTTTTGATGCAGCCCAGGATCCGGTTGGCTTTCTGGGCTGCACGAGCACGTTGCTGGCTCAGAAGAGAGAGGGATGTGCATCTTAATAGTTATTAGTGGGAGTTGTTTCTTATGGGACTGTAAAGAAACCGGTGCCATGGATTTACTACTTGAAGATTTATGTTTTTGGATAAATTACTGTTTCTATGCACTTAAAACTTAGTGAAATCGATACTTTAATGAGGATGTTTTCTTTTGTAACAAGGGCTGATCCTTTTACCAGCAACCTATTTCTCCATGGGTTTCCTTCTCTGCCCTGAATTTGGGAATTGGCTTTTTCATGTTGACTGAATTCAGAAGAAAACTATGCCCCGTTGTATTGAATTTGGCATAATGGCTGAAGTTTGAATTTGGCTTGTATTGGTTAAATCAAGCTTTTGATTTGGTTGCCTATTGTCCGGTATGCTAATCCGTGTTATTTCCAGCTGAGTTAAAGTGTAAAGTCATTAGAGCAGCGTGGGCCTTTTGTTTGTACAAGGAAAGGTTAAGTTCTGCAGGCAGCTCATACTGCTGCCAGCATGGCTGCTAATCTGAGTTTGGGGATTAATTACCTGTAACAGCTGCAGGACAGAGTCCTGTGCTGAGCAGAAGTCTGATTAGGCCAAAGTTTTTGGAAAGCTTTGTCATGGGAAAAGTTTTTCAGCGTTTTTCAGGAACTTGAGTTCTGATTTAGTTCAGCACCCGAGACTTACATTATCACTCTGTTCAGTCTATTAATATCCTAATGTTGATATTTTAAATACGCTCTGAAAATCCTGTAACAGATTTAACAAGCAATTTAAACTATCTCGGCCTGTAGCTATTTATGGCCTGTCAGTATTGTTATAGTCTTTGTTTCTGAGTTGTTTCTAATTCAGCTTTCAGTAACCACAGATAGCTGTTGGGGGCGGGAAGGGTAAGGAAGCCAAAATGCAGCTTATGAACAGATTTCAAAATCGGTTTGTAATGGGGTGGTTTGGAGATGAATAGAGTTTTTTTTAGTTTTAAATGCAATTTTTTCCCAGATCTTTCTGATTAAAAGTTTACATTTTTGGACATACTTTTAAATGCACTCAGAAGCTGTTGTTTTCCTGTTTGAAACACTCACTTTGTTTTAAAATTCAACAGTAGTTATTATCATGCACAAGGCATTTAACTTTCATTTTATGCCCTTGTACTAAAGAAGTGAAAAACTCTGGTTTGGAATTGAGGAGAATTAAGTACACAAGGAGTCAAAACAAATACCATCATCTTCACAAAAGAGAGATTGGCTTTAACAGAAGAAATATGTGCTGTGGACTCACATTAGGAATGAGGGAGAAGTAAATGATGATTGTAGATAGTAGCATAAATATCCATTTTTGCTAAACTATAACATTAAGTCTTCAAATGAAAACTATAATCCAATCATCACTTGACTAATATTACTTAAAATAATCCGGTAAGTTAATACCCAAATTTTTTTAGGTTTCAAATTCAACTCCTTAAATAAAACCTTGCAATTCTCTTTAAAAACTGCACAGTTTTTTTTTTTCCCCCTAATAGATACTGACTTTGACATCTTTGGCATTGCTTTTGTCTTCCTTTCTTCTTCTTTTTCCTAACTTAATATTCTAAGAAACTACAATGTTTCTATTTGATAGGAACTGGAGTGGAAAGAAAATACTCATTTAGGAAAAATATTCTTATTACTAGCTTTGAGTGGAAAGAATGTCTAGTCCTCATCAGGGAGCTGCAGACATTAAGCTTCTGTGGGTTATTTCCAAATGGGTGAATTGTATGCAAAGTAATGACCCTTTTAAGAATTTGCAGGCTAAGAGTACAATTAGTGAGTAATTCTGAATTTATTTAATGTTTTTATTTCAGTCAGAGAGAATGTTCTCATAAAGCTGCTGGTATAAATTAGGAATAAGCAGATGGGGTTGATATCTATTCTCCAGTCTGTGGCCGGTAACTTGAAAAAGTGTAAGCCTGTCTGTTGCTTATATGTCTCTGATGTATACATTCTGTCACGTAGGTAAGAAAGAAAAATGTGGAAGGGTGTGTAGCATATCAGAAAGTATAGCTCCCTACCTGAATGCCTGCTGGTGCCAGAATGTTGTGTTGAGCAGAACAGTGACGGGTGATGGTTGATCACTCCGGTTCAGACATGTAGATAATTGATAGTAGGGCCCAATTAACACTAAGCAGCCCTGAGGCCAACCTCATTATCACATTTGACTTAAGTACTCTTTTTTTTTTTTTAATTTTTATTTCCATCTCTTCCTTTTAGTCACTTAATAACTTTCTTCCTCAAGACGTCATCAGGTCTGAGGAAAACGTATTTGTTTTACCTGTAGCCAGTTATATAAGGTATTCCTTGATGGCTATACATTGTTGATAATGCATCTTTTTCTGCTCTTTTACTTAGATGACAGTGCCTCTGCTGCAAGCAGTATGGAGGTAACGGATCGCATTGCCTCTCTGGAGCAACGTGTCCAGATGCAGGAAGATGATATCCAGCTGCTCAAATCTGCCCTTGCTGATGTGGTTCGACGCTTGAATATTACAGAGGAACAGCAGGCCATGCAGAACAAGAAAGGACCTACCAAAGGTTTGCATTTCAGCTATATGTAATTATGTGTGCTATAGGTAGTGCAATTCAGTGAGTGTTTTATATGTATTAAAATAGGTTATTCTTTAGATCTTTGAAATAATCAAGGTCAACAAACCAAAGTCAAAATAAAATACATTTGAAATTTAACCTGTTGGAAAGAACCCGTAAAAATCCAGCTGGTTAAATCTGTGAGCCTTCTGCAGTTCCCATGAACCAGCGAAGCATTTGCATATTCTTAACGTTTAATCCACTATCTGCATTTAACCATGGCTACCCCTTCCTGACTTTTGATCAAGATTAGTTTATAAACTCTTTAGGGAATGCATCATCTTCTGTGGGTGAAACTCCTAATAGGTTTTTTTCCTTTTAACCAAAAGATTAATTAAATTTAAGTAAAATGTAATTTAAATTTAATTAAAAATGTCTTAAGTGTCTTTGGATGGTGCAGACACAGCCAAAGACAGAGTTCTGAGCTAGCACGGAGTTGACACGACCGAGGAGATGGTGCAGCACCAGCTGCTCAGCTACGAAGGGAAGGTGGAGCTGCGGTGGGTGCCTGACCCTGTTCCAGAGCAGCAGATCCAGAGCCAGCGGGGTGGCAGGTGTGACAGACGGTGCCACTTGGCAGTATGCAGGGCTGTGCTCGTGTGCCGCAGCATCCTCTCTCTTGGTTCCTGCACTGCGAGAACGGGTTTGTCTGTACGCAGATCAGAAAAGCTGGAGTAGAGTACTACAGAGTAGTAGTGCTTTGCAGCAGTAGAGGTTTATTAGAACGCAACTGGTGTGATTTACTGTAGTCTGTGAAGCTGCAAAAAGCCTGGGAGAATGCCGATCTGCAGCTTAGCAGAAATGCGCGACGTATTTTTGGGTAGTCTTAGGAGTAAGAGTGGTGGCAACCTAGATGTGGAAAGAAAGTACGGCTGACTTTACAGGCTCTCTCTTGTCCAAATTAAGAAATTGTTTCTTTTGGGATCCTGATAGGTATTAATATAAATTAAAAAACTTAATTCACATTGCAAGTATGATATGTAATTACGGATTCATAATTTTATCAGCTGGAAATTAGGACTTCCTTTCATCTTGGTTAAATGTTGTGACTTTGCAGCAGATAACTTTTAGACATTGATTTAACAGAATAGGTAAGGAACTATGGAATTAATCTGCTGAACTGAGATGTTGTGTTTGTTTCAATGTTTTGTGTCTGGAGATAAGGAAAGAAGAAAGGGACAGAATTACAGGGCCAGCTTAGTTGATCATGCTAGTTGTCGGACAGAATGTGCAGTAAATGTCTGTGATCTTCTCCTGTTTTCTTCCCTTTCTGTTGTATTCTCCTTGCTTTGTCTTTGTCTGTTTTCCAAAAAAAAAAAAAAAATAAAAATTGAAATACCAGATAAGTTAAATGTTACTAAAGATAGCCTCCACTGTGATAAAATGTTCCACCAAATCTGGTTGTACAAGGGATTAAGAGGCTTTATGTTGCCTGTAAAATAGATATTATCTGATGTGTGGAGGAAATAAAGTCTAGTAATTATTACTAAGTTATAACCAAATCAGTTCTTGTCTGCTGGCTTTACTTAGCAAAATACAGACCAGGTTTTCATGGATTCCATAAGCAGAGTTGAAGTCTAAATCAGGAGATGCTTTCTTGGTTGTCGCAGATGGTTGAAGTCCTAGTTCAATGTGCACTGAAGAAAAGCTGCTGTAAGCCCATCCCTCTGCCTTCTATAGCTGTTTTTTGTTTGTGTTGGGGTTTTTCTGTTTGTTCTGTTTTGGTGTGGGGTTTTCTGTTTGGTGGATTTTTGGTTTTTTTTTTATAAACTGTGTATATGGCATGGATACTTCTTAATGTGTGTGTAAAATGACAGTGTAAGAAGTTTTACTGTGCCAATGCAAATGGAGGACTACGAATGTTAATTGCTCTTACAGTACAAATTACTGAAATGAATCCTGATAGTTACCAACTAAATCCACCTAATTTCTGAAAATAATTGGTACTGTAACAATTTATGTAAAGAACTTTAATTTTACTATATATCAGTTATATCATTAGCGTATGGTCAGCCTTATTAAACCTACCCCATACGATGAAACAGAATCTGGATATCCTGATCGTTTCTTCCAGCTATTCTACAAATAGGCACAAGTACTTTATAATGGCTTGCACGCAATTACTTAGCATAAGACTAGGTTGAATTTCAGTATTTTAACTTGGAATAGCATTACGGAGGCTCCTGATGAAGACTGTTAGGAAAGGGGTTTGCTTAGACATGGACAAAACTGGAGTGGTGATTTCTTGTGTTTTTACTTGATCTGTTTTCTTTCTGTTTATCATTTAATGAGTAATTTCACATTTGGAATTGTAAAAAGTGGAATTCGATCTCACAAAGTGAGATCTAAGTCTATGCAAACTGGGGTTTAAAGCATATTGTATGCTACTGCTTTCATTTGATCTGTAGATGAAGTTGATCAGGATTAAAAGTGTGTGTGTGTGTGTGTCAGGGGGAGGTTTGTGCCTTTGGAAAAACAGGATCCCCAGTGCACTATGTAAAGTCTGGAACAAGAAGTTTCGTGGAACAGAAGACTACATTTTTTGGAGTACTTGGGATTTAAAATCGATTTAAAGGTTTCAAGTTTCAGACTTTCAAACCTATAACGGAAAAAAAGCTTGAGCTTGTTTTCAGTCTGTGTGTGTCCTTGTTCTAGGCTTGAGCTAGGCAGCTTAAGAGCAGCGTACATCACGGGAAGTGAGCTGCTTATCTTGTCCATTTGTGGAGCTCCTTCACTGATGGTGTTTTGGGTTTTTGGTTGTTTTTGTTTTTACACTTCCTTATTTAATTCAGCTACTTGGTGGAGTTCAGTATGGCTTCCTGCCTTTGTTTTACTTGTGTTTGTTGTTCTTTCCTTTTGCAATTATTGGTTTGTTTGTAAACTTAACAGCCCTATTAATCCATAGATCAGAGTATGATTAAAAAAGCTGCTGCTGAGGCTGATAAACACGTCAGTCCTGCTACCACAGGTAAGACCTTGAAGCAACAGAACCTCCAAAATAAACGTTACTGACAAAGCAATAATACCGATTCGTTTGAGTTGCTGACTTCTAACAGCAATGACATGTTTGGGGTTGTTTGGCTGTTATGTCTGTTACCACTGGTGTGAACTACCTCTTGTAAATATAACTAAATAGTTCCAGAATAAATAGTGGATTAATTGAATAATGTATAGTTTCTCTGTGTGCCGTGTAAGTTCCGTGGTGTTGCTTTCCACGCTAGCTGACCATAGGGCTAGATTTTTAAATCTCTAATTCCAGAAGCGTGGGTTCTGGGCTGGTGCTGGATGTGAAGCAAAACTTCTGTTAAGCCTTGCAGGGTTTATTCCCGGCTGCTGCTAGTTTCAATTTCATAAGGTTGGGAGAGCAAACAGACTCCAGCTAGTTCACTCCAGCTACTCTTTAATAGGCTTTTTTTTATGTAACTATAAAGAAGGAAAATATTTTAATCATTTGCTTACTTAACTTTAATTGTTGTTCTCATTTGTGATCTCAAAGCCTCGTTAAAGTTTTGTGAGCTACAGAAATCCTTTCAGGAAACAAGGCTACAGCTGCTCAATCGTAGCTATCTGTGATTCTCTACTATGCAACAGAATCAGTTTTATACATACCAATAATTACAGCGTTGCAGCAGGTCGTCAGGAAACAAGCAGTAGAACGTGCAGCATGAAACTGTGGGAAGAATTTCATTTGGAAGAATGAATACTGTAGAAGTAATTCAGATCATAATATATGAATACCTTAATAAAAAAATAAAAACAGAGGCATGAGAAGCCAAAGTACAGTAAGTTTTAGGTATTTCATATAAGCTCTAAGGACAGCCATGAGTCTGCACCAGGAATTAGTTTAAGTCTTGTTTAGCCTTTCCTTAAAGCTTCATGTAAAGTCAGAGCGTGCTTGCTCTTCCTGTCCTTGGTAGGAACGATACTGCCTCACCCTGTCAGTCCTCTGCGATTCTTGGATCCTCAGTGAGCATGGAGAAAATTTTTCTTCTTTTTTTTTTTTTCTTTCTTGACTTGTTTTCATGTCATCCTTCAGTCTTCTAAGCAAAAAAAACCTTGTTCATTCAGTATTTCCTTATAGGTTATTTTCTAAATTTCCCTCCTCTGAACAAATAAATGATGAATACCTAACAAGTAAGTGTGTATTCTAACAAAAGTTTCAAGACAAAGTTTGTCTTGAAAGTTGCATTCCCAAGTAGACCATATTTACTGACCTAATCTTCTCAAGGCACAGGCTTTCACATCTGTCATCTTTTGTTCATGTGAAAACTACAAGTGAACAAGTCAATAAATGCTTGCTGTCACTGCTACACTAGGATGTTATCATAATATAACCTAGGTCTGTACACGATGGTTAATGATTGAGTTTAACTTTTTAGATTATTTATCCTCAGCAGTCATTTTTGGAAGAGCATTTCGTAGCTATTCTCTCTGCCATCCTCTCTGAGTTCAGTGAAATTCTGTCTTGTGTTCCTTAAGTGACTGGTGCCTTCTCTCAGGTGTTGCTTCTCTGAGCCCGGAGACTTTTGGCATCTTTACAAAGCTGGCTTGCGATACAGAGTTCTGTCACATTTGAAGCGATTCAAGCTTTCTTCCCTGCTGTAGTGAGAGCACTGGTCATGTTTGTGTCTGTTTTCAGGCTATAGTGAATTATAGTTTTCATGTTTGTACTCATTGCTTGGAGTTTGAACCACTGTTTGCTTGTGCAACTAATTTCTAACTTACTTGAATGGGACTTTTCTGTTATTGTAATACTAATTACAGGTATGACATGTATATCCTTTCTTGAGCCAACATTTGACTGGAAGAATGTAGGTAGGTAATGTCAGCTCATTAAGTCCAATGTTCTGCTGATTTCAACCGCTTTTTCTGACTAAAGGGTAAAATTCCTTTCTGTCAGACATAAGCTCACATTCTTTGAAAGAAGACCTTTTTTTGGGAGGGATAGGGATTTCTTAGTAGATAATTTGCTTGTGGAAAACCTGCAAGAACGTTGAGGGGTGAAGAGCAGGAGTTTCTGCGATGGCAACCTGCCTTCATTTCTAGCACTGCTCTGAATGCTGCCCAGGTGGGCAAGAGACTGATGCTCTTTTAAGAGAACAGGATTGTTTTCGGTGGCAATGACTACCTTTGCACTTACCAGTAAGCTCCTTGAGCTAGGACAGAGTTTTACAGATGAGAGAGGTTATAGAATTGTGTGCTTAAGCCACGTGCAGATGATCATGATGGTGATTAAGAATAATATTCCTCCCTGTTAAAACCCTCATCTGCGGTGAGTTTGGCACTAGTGAAACAAAAATGGCGTGCTACATGGCTACTTTTAAATATTCTAATATTGTTTGCTGGGGGAGGGGGAAGCAAAGGAAATGAAAACAATGTTTTCATCTTATGCTTGTTTACAGCAAGACCGCTGGTACAAACCCTGCCTTTAAGGACTACTGTTAATAACGGAACTGTGTTACCAAAGAAACCAAGTGGCTCTTTACCTTCCCCATCAGGAACCAGAAAGGAAACTGTATCACCAGCAGCAAAAAGGTATGCATCTGTTAGAAACCTTATAATTGCAAAATTGAAAACATGGTATATCTCATCTTTTAAGCTTCTAGATACGTAGTTTTTCTTGCTCTCAAAGCAACGGTCTAAATATTTAGTTGGGAAAGAAAAGGAGAGGTGGATTTCTTTCTAAGAGGCTTTAAACTTATTTGTTCTAATTAGAATTCAGGTTATTACCAGGAATATTTAAAGAATGCACAATGCTTGGTCTACTGGTTTGTGTTATTTTCTTGCTACTACAGTCTAGCATATAGAGAATAAAGTATTTCTACTGTGCTGTTGCACAACATGAACGTGGAAAGTGGTGCCAGAATTCTTGTAGTAGCTAGTTGAAAATATATAGTCTGTAGAGAAACTGTGCTATCATTACAAATCAGTATATTACCTTTGGTGGTCTTCTCTCACTAAAAATTATCATAGAAACTGCATGTGCAGTGTTAGAAGCATCTCAGGGAGGGGGGAGAATTCTCTGCCTAGCACATATTTATGCAAATGAAAACATCCATCTTTAGATATCTTACCATTAGCATGTATTTAAGTCCTTTTAAAAATTACTGCTGTGTCTCAATTAGCTTTGTGTGTGTAGTTGTTTTTAAGCGGTGTACATCTTTTATACATCTAGGTTACAAGGAACACAATGGATTGGGTACAGCAAGTTCAAGTTACGTGTGACAGTTTATTGTGCTAATCTGCTGTATGGTTTGCCTGTGAAAGATAATAGTGTGCTGGTTTGGTTTTTTTTTTAACGTTTCTTTTGTTGTGTGTCATCTTCAGCTTTTTGTAGTAATGATGCTGTCAGCTCTGAGGAGGGCGAGTTGTGGAGATGAGAGCATTAACCTGCTAAGATCTGAGGTCTCTTTCGTAAAGAGAATTTTTCCTTAAAGGGGGGGGAGATGGTGGCTAAGGATATGCCACCCTTTGTTACTGTGTTGAAGGGGACTGATTTTCCAGGAAACTCCAGGTTTTCTTACTGTAGAGAATAGAGAAGCTATGCTGTGCACAGTTAAAATTGGAGAATACCATATTTGTGTCGCACAAATGAACTCCGATGAGCTCCTATGAACTGGGGCTCGCTGCAGCTGTGGATTTTGGCAGGTTGGCCTGATTTAGCCCTTAAGATAAGAGGAGGAAGGCAAATACTGTATAAACTGTTCCATTATCAGAATTATATTATCAGAATTTTGAAATGGTGAAAGAACTTGCCTTTTAAAAAAGAAAATTTATTAGTGTTTAAAAAGGAATATGATTTTATATAAGCTGAATTGTTAAAGAAATTACAAATCATTTTTTCTTAATTCTTGTAATTTTGTTGTCACCAATGAAGTTTCAAGTGGTAATTATAAAACACATGAGAGAGCACAAGCATTGGCAGACTTCGCCTGTGTACAAAGGGTGTGATTCCTGAATCTCTACAACTCCGTCTCTAAGGTTTAGCGTAGGACTTTCTGCCCCAGAGTAGGGTGGATGAAATGCCCATCAAGATCACGTGCTTTCTCTATTGGAGGGTGCTTTGTGTAATTCAGGTGGTCCATCAGGTACTGCCTGCAGCCTGTAGGTGTTATCCCAGGTGAGACCCTGCAGCCCTTCCACTTGACCCATCTTCAGTCTGGATACCCGGTGTGCCAGTGGGAAAGTCCTGAGGCAGCATCCTTAGGCAGCATTTTTGGTCTGTCTTCATTCCTGTATGAGAAAGTCTTCCACGGGATAAGGATTTAATGTCCTTTTATTATGCTTTGTCCCTTCTCTTTCCTGAAGAGGCTGGGCTGGAGGTGCTTTAAATATGCAGTATGAAAATGTGTATTCAGTTTTAGAAAAGAAAAACTACATGTGGGTAGTTTTGTTGAAATAGATGGACACTTACTAAGGGTGCTTCAGGAGAGCAGGATTATTCCATGTCCTGAAAAAAGCATATATATATATGCAGTTATAAATCCAGGTGCGGTGGAATTCCTATTCCCTTCAAATGCTCTAAATTTCTCTATTAATTTTCTTTAATATGCAATTTTTTTCTTTAATTTTATCTTTTATTAATTTATATTAAAATATATTTCTGTGCCTTGCCTATAAATGTACTTCAAGAGGAAGAGAGTGGAATGGTAAGGACCTCATCAATGAATTACTGTAGAAAACTACTTTTTTGATAAATTATTCTCTACTCTTTTTGATAAATTATTTTCTACTCTTATCATTTGATAATGAACTTTAAAATAACTGTTGGGATTTCATGTTTTTACAGTAAATTGTGCTCCAAGTATTCAGTATTCAAAGGTGATATATTAAGTGTTCCAAATAGCTTTCTTGCAAATAGACAAGTAGATTAATTCATTCTGCATTAATTAAGATAATTCATGCTTTGTGTTTATGCTGGACCTTGTTACCTTCAGGAACTGGATGTGTGCATGCATAAAACAGTAATGGAAATACATCAGCAAGATGAAATAGCTTTCTTTTTTTTAAAGGGTAGGACTTGTTTATTTGTGTTAGAAGCTTCACTCAGTGTTGAACAGTTTATAGATGGTGTGTAATTTTAAATAATTTTTTTAGTTCTGATTTCTGCTAAGCAGTCATGTTTTTATGGTGCTCTTTTTCATATAAACTCACTCCGGAACTACTTCTACTTTGTAGTGTAGGTATTGTTTAGTCCGAAATATGGTAATGTGGCACAGCAGCTCTAAATAGTATTAAGTGTTTATAGATGTTTTAAAACTTAATTTCTGCTTGGATATTTTAAATAGTTTTTGTATACAAAATAGATGCAGAATTGAAAAATTTGAAATTTTTCCAAGTATGAAAAAAGTAAAATTTGACAAGTGAAAGAAAAGTTAAAAAAACCTTAAGAAATAAAAAAAAATGTGGTGTTTTTTTTTTTTTCTGAGTCATCTTCTAAACCTTTGGTCTGCTGTTGGGAATTACAAATATCTGCTGGGATTACTATAGCAGAAAATATCATCTTCAATTTTTTCCTACCCGTGGCCATATTTTCAAGAGGCAAGCATTCAGGTGGATGGAGTCCTTCCTTCCCTACTGAATGGCCTTATGAAAAGGGGGATTACAAACAAATAACTTCTGGTTCCTCTGTTTTCTGATACTTTCACCGTTTAGGTTACGAAGTGTGTCATTTCCAATTGAAATGACATCAGTCTGTCCCTTTAAGCAGTATGTCATGCATATTTACATGCAAATCATCTCCGTGGGGACCAAGTGTGCATCCATACATTCCACTGCATAGAAATAGATGTACTTACTGATACGTCTGCTGACACAATCTCATTTCATACATTAGCTGTATGTAAATATGTTGGTTAACTCATTTGAACCCACAGGTTGGTATATGGCTTATCTGCCTTGCTGGATTACCAAGGAGATGTGGTTCAGAGTTCACTACATTTTCGGATTTCCCATTTAATATTTGAAATGGTGTCGTGGTTTAGGCCAAAGCGGCTACTGGGGACCTGGGGGATGACAAATGGAAATGACTTGTTCTGGCAGGAGTATAAAATTGGAGGTAATAAAAAAAGCTTGAGGCTGAAAGGGTGGAACTAGCAGGCTCTTTTTTGAGTTCTGCCACATATTCTCTCGATGACCTTATGCAAATCATTTAACCTCTATGCATATTGGTTTTCCATATGTAAAACGTGTATCTCTGGATATCAGTAGGTTGTGACAGGGCCTAATGTGATAATTAGATCCAGATCTTGCAAAGCGTTGAGTAACCTCAACTGACTCTGACTTCAGTTAGAATTGAGGGCACCAAACCCCCCTTCAGCATTCAGGTCTCGTATAGCCAACACCCAATTATCCAAGTTAAGGAAGAAATTAAATAACCTGAATAGAGCAAAAGCACAAATCCAGAACATGGTTCAATTGGATTATGAAAGCATATGGTGGTAATATAATACAAGATAGAAAGCTTGGTGATGCTGGTGATACTGGGACCAAAAATTCTGGTCCAGCACCCACAGACGCGGCTGCACTCGGGTGATGGGGTGCCATGTGAGCACAGCTGGGCGCTTCCAGCTGCAAGCCAGCTAATGCGGAGCTGAAGTGATTTTTACGATGGGCTGGATAATCACCTGACACGGACAAATCAAGAATTGCCTGCCTTTTGTAAAGTGTTTCCAAGTCGTCTTGGTAAAAAGCCTTTGCTCAAAGGATTTATATTAAATTTAATAAATTTACTACTTTTATACTGTAGAAGCGTATAAGCTATTTTGAGTACCAGCTTTTTGAATGCTGCCATATTTTTATTCTGAACTTTGTGCTTAGAATAATTATTTGCAGTTTTCATTCAGAAGAAGATGAGTTTAGTGTATCATGAGCAGAACTTTCCCTTCCCCCTGCGCTCTTCCTTTTGCATGTAATGTGGCTTGAAGTTCGCTGCTTAACGCTAAATTTGTCTCGGGAATTTGGCCAGTGCACAGTAGTAATGTTTTGTGCTCCCTATTAAAATCTAGGGGTTTGTGACTCATCCAGGATAGCTTTGTTTCCAAGAGTTGAGGCGGGGAAAATAAAAAAAGAAATAAAATGTAAGGAGGAGAATGCAGACAGTACCTTTCCCAGTAGGGATGCTGCTGCAGGCTGCGGGCTAGCACATTCTTTGCCTTTCAAAAGGAGACAATCAGTCATTCTTTCTCCCCCAGCAGATTGCAAAGTATTACAATGGTGTAAAACTCTGACAATGGAGATCAAAAGGAAGAAGCTGTAACAAAGAAAACATAAAGAGCTTTGTTTGTAGGGAGAATAAAATACTTTAATATGATAAATTCCTGTTCTTCTAAACTCTAAACACATGGCCCCTAGGAAATTGTTCAGTCGCCTGGAATTAATGTTCTGCGTTCTGTTCTGGGGGCAGTGATGGTTTGTAACTGGCACACACACAAACTCTGTATCGAACCTTCAATTAAGTCTTCTATTTAACACGACTCTCAAAGAAAATGTTTTAGAATAAGCAGAATATAAATTAAAAAAAGAAATCCCTCTCCATTGAACTTCGAGTGGCAAAACTATTATGCCACTTCACTCTCTCTAACAATTAAAATTATTAGTGCATTTTGCTCAGAGGCACAATGAAATTAAAGTCATATGTTATTCTTGAATTTATTCTAATTGATTTAAATGAGGGTCAGAAAGAGTGCTAGACAAGTTTCAAAATATTATTAATAGAATCGGTTACTGTCATAAGAGTATTGTGTGCTCTTTTCTAATTTATTTTATTAAAAAGCATTTCCAAAAAAATTTTGGTTATTAAGTATATATATTTTTTTAATTTTGGCCAGATTTGTTCACCACAATTCAGTAATGTAACCATCTGAAACATTCATGCTATGCAGTGGTATATGTATGTATATATGACGATTTATTTTCTTGTCTTTATTGTTGCTGTTTTAATAGTCTTTGTCTTCTAGCTGGATCATCTGTCTCGTTTCTTCAGATAGCCTCTTTGATTTTTTTCTTTTTTTGGGTCGCTTTACAAGCGGTCAGCGTATTGGAGCATTACTGAGATTTTGTCATTCAAAGATACATTGGTGTTCTTAAATGTATGGTTTGAAATGATCAAACATCTGAGTTAATAAGCACTGTGTTTACTCTTGCATGTGACTTCATATCTTGAAAGCATGCAATTATGTCTTTCAATGTAAGTTTGTTTTAAATGTCTTGTTTCCACATTTTATTGTTGCATTCACTTTTTATTCTGCTTTGTTTACGCACCTCTCAATCTGGATTAAGCAGGTCTGTGAATCTTCTCAATGCATGCAAACTGAAAAAGCCTGCTCTAAGGTGAGGGATCCTTAATAGCTTTGTAGTTTTGAAGCTCAGTTGCTTTTCCTTTCCGTTTCGGTTCAACGCATAGAAAGTGGCTGTTTTAGTACAAGCACTAACATGCTAGAACTGTAATTATTATTCCTATTTTTAACATTTTTCAGAAATACCTGTTTAAAACTTTTTCATCATTGATAAATGCATTGCAAAACTTAGATAATAATAATTTCACCTGTGGTATCTCCGTTATCTTAAACTAACACAATTTTTATTATAAGGGCGCTTCATTAGACGACATTGCTATCTTAAGCAAGTTAAAATTTGCGTTACCAAATGTTATCTATTTAAATAATGGAATATGCTCTCCTTTCATATCACTAATGTGGAAGCCAAATTCTGGAATCCAGTTGTACTCTTACAAACCTGTAAGTTAAATGAATATTTTCTGTTGTTTTAAATTCCTCCTCAGGTAATAGTGTATCTGCTGTGGCCGTGGATATAACCACTGTTGTTTAACACTATAGCGACCAAAATGTGTATATGCCAAAACTGAGTTAGTATAATGGAGTTATAATCCTCTTTTCCAACCACCTGCTAATACTTCTCACTGGGTTTTTGTTGCTGAAAGTCTGAAATAAAATTTGTCAGAAAATAGCATTGCTAATTAGGTTAAGCAGTAGTGGACGTAAGCCAAAAGAGTTTAAAAGAATTTTGTTCCTGCGGTAAAAGTAGTTTTTATACTGATATGAGACTTCATTATTTAGAAAGAAGATAGCATAAGATTTTTGTTCCTGTGGTAGTTTTTGTACTGATATGAGACTTGATTATTTAGAAAGAAGATAGCATTACACTTCTAAGCTTTAGTCCCAATCATTCATTTTTTTATCTACCAGTTAATCTTTTGAATGTTGATAGCTATAAAAATAAAACCCCAAGCAACATTAAAATTAGTTTAAAATTGCTTCTGTAACTGACGTTTTTTTCTAACATTAGTATAATTTGGTGATTTCATTCATTTAATTCCAGTGTAGGCTGATACTGCCTCTTTTCCTTAACCAGGAGAAGATGCCAAAATAAAGGTTTGATCCTGCAAAATCGCACAGAGAGGATGGTTCTGCAAGTACTGTATATAAAGTAGTAGAAGGATTCATGCTAATAAAGCTGTTTTATGTGGAGTAAATATTTTCAGTATCAAGGCTTTAGTTTTCTAACTGGAGTAGTTAAATGGGATGATGTTACAAGATGCAGGGAGAACAGTTAAATGTTAACAGCATTTTATTTAATTTACTAGAGGAGTTTTTTTCATGCATTTGACATCGAGATGACTTGGATAATGTTAGGCTAGTGTAGGAGACACTTACTTCTGAAATGAAGACAGAATTAAATTCTTTTTACTGACTTTTCCCTTCTCCTCTGAACGTATTGTGTTCTGTGCTTGTATGTAACTTTGCATTCTGCTTGCTCTGTTACATCGCTCTCTCCACAGAAGCAGTATTTGTTAAATTTCAGCTTCATCATTTGAATTGTGCTTGTTTGTTATACAAAACCGCAGCACTGAACGTTTGTCCTACCATCGCATGTTCCAGAAAGTTTTTTGTCAGGCTACCTCAGATGCAACTTAACATGCATCTGCTCTGCGGAGCTCCCCCTGGATGGAAGCAGGAATATATATACACACATATATATATTTTTTTTTAAAGTGTTTCAGTGGTGGTGTACAGTTGATCAGCTGAATATTTTTTGACCAGATGGAAAAGTCTGTCTCATTTCCTTTAGTTATGAAGAGCCAACGCCTCTCTTTCTTACACCACACACAAACTGGGACAGAGTCTGAGGAGCTGACTGGGATAACAGGGTAGGCAGAGTTGCTAGGGGCTGATGGGAAGGTTTGGAATAGTCCTCAAGGATGCTTGAGATAAGCCTTATGATGAGCAGAGCATCCCTGGGGGTGTACAGAGGTCAAGGGGGAGCTGGCTGGGGCTGGTAAGAGGGCGACTGGGATGAGACTGGGCCTTGAAGGAGTAAGAACAGAAAGAACTGAAGTTTTCACAGAGGGAGGGAGCTTGTGGTTGGGATTTGCGTAGAGGGTTGTGAGCTTGAAAGCGATCATTGGTGCTTGTGGCTTCTGGGAGAGAAGGTGAAGGTGGTCGTTTAGTTGTGGGGATGTTACGGGTAAAGGGGATGTTTCCGTTCCGCTCTTTGGAGGGGAGAAAACGGCACAGGACTGGAATGGGGGAAACGAGCCCCTGACACGGAGTCCTGTTGTTCAGCTGCTGCTGTGGGGGCGACTCCTGCCCGGGTCGGGTAGCGCTGCCTGTGCCTCTCTGCTGCACAGGGGGTGCAGCAAAGTGAAAAGCATCACCCAGCTCAGGGACTCACCCTTAGCTGCTCCCTCTCCTGCTAGGAAACACTGCTTTAGGGCAAAGTGCTCAGGGCTAATGAATAAATACAATAATTTGTCTCCTATTAGGTGTAAGCTCTGAGTGGGCTTTTCTTAACTTACTAAATAATACCGCTTGTGTTTTGGCTCATGTTTTTCCATCAAAGAGAGCTGGATGTCTAAGGGGTGCCATAAAGTCATACAAGAGCTCCCTGATAGATCTTGGCAGGAAGGATGGTTGAAGAGTGAGAGTAAGGCAGGATTTAAGCCTTTGAGAACCCCCTTGTCAGGAGACGTGGGGAATCTAATCTATTCATACATGTAAGTAGGAAGCATACATTTTTGACAAGCTAACTAAAAAATGCAGGCTAGCTCACCATTAATTGCACTTTGGGGTATGTTAAAACTAGCTTTGAACTGCAGAATAATTGATACTGAGTGAAGACAGAAAGTTAGCTTGCTGGTGCTCAAATTTTGACCTACTTTTGGCATTCTCTGTAGTCTGGCTGGAGGTGTCAGGTAATATGCTTTCTCTTTAAATCTTGCGCTTCTCATTAAGAGAACCCAGAAGTTCAGTGTGGAGTGGTAGTCAGAGATTTGAAATGTGACCTGGTAATTAGAAATTGCAGCTTACTCTATGATATTGGTTTAGCCCGTCTTCTGTTTTATGAATAAGGAAAAAGCAGTATGTTTGTCTCTGCACCAGGTACTCAGCAAAACTCTTATGTAGGCTCTTTAACAAATCAAGTTATGATTAAAACCAATGTTGTAGTTATTTTTAAGGTCAGCATTCTACTTACTATTTTTCTCAAAACTATTTGTCTGACAGATACGTGCTTTTACAAGTGCTACTGTAAAACTTGTTCCTTTTTTTTATTAGCACCGTTAAGAGAACCAGTTCAGCTGAACGTGTGTCCCCAGGCGGTCGGAGGGAAAGCTATGGAGATTCCAAAGGGAGTCGCAACCGCACTGGATCCACCAGCAGTTCATCTAGTGGTAAAAAGAACAGTGAAAGGTAATGTTATCTAAATATATGTCTCCTCTGCCTACTGCCCTAATAATGAAATTAGTTTCTCTAGTTTAGCAAATATTGGGAGCTTTTTTAAACAGTTGGGCAAAAATATATTTTAAAACATCTCAACTAAAACAGGTTTTCAAATTCAGATTAAATTTATTTGCCTTACTTCCAAGCCATAAACAATGTGAGAACCTTGAGTTGCCCTGAAAAGTTTGTAATTATTAAACATGCCTTTTCCATTATCGTAGTGGTTTCCCTTGGTCTTCAAGTTCCTGACATGTACTTCTTCAAGTTCCTGATTGTGGTGTGTTGACCCCAACTTCCAGTTAAGCACCACACAGCCACTTACTCCCTCTTCACCAGCAGGATGGGGGAAGAGACTAGGAAGAGCAAAAGTGAGAAAACTCATAGGTCAAGATAAAGGCAGTATAATAAGAGAAGGAAAGAAGAAAAAACCTGTAGCCATTAACTCTTTAAGTAATCCATAAATAAATACTACTTTTGAGAGGTAAATCAATATTTTCTTGGATTACTTAAGAGCCATGTCTCTTTCTGCATATGCAGACTTGGACAAAATCATTACTAAACATCTCAGATCCTTCTAGCACAAGGATTGTATACCTTGATACATCTGATAGAACATGGCTGAAGGAGAACCCCAAATATCAAAACTCTTGGGAGCAAGTGAGCCTGGAAGTTTTAAAAGGGAAAATTAAGCAAAAAATACCCAGTGAAGGGACTGCTGAGAAGATAAAAGTTCGCTTTTAGTTTAAACGGGAAATTCTGTGAGGTATTGCAATAGTGCATAACTTCATGCAGCTACATTGCCTCAGTGAAGTCACTAAAAGGAGGTGCTCTTTTCTGTATGGACCTCTTGAAGCTGTTGGATTTTTCTAAGGTTTTACTTTTTGTTTTGCATATATGTATAACTTCCTACTCTATTGCATGTATCAGACTATGGCAACAGTCCTTTTCTTGTCACTTCATAGATTAAAAAAAAAATCTTACAGAAACAAAGCAAATTTCTTATGGAAAGTTTTTGTTAGAAAAGTTAAGTTTCTATAATTAGATAGGTAGACTTGTGTCTGGAATATGAACAGGAATATTTCACCTACCAGTGGTGAAATGTCATTGCGTTTCCCATTTACTCTAGTAACTTACTGTAGTTTTTAGAGGAAGTTTTAACAAACTTGTGATGATCCTGCAGTGTCCTTTCTCTGTGTATTTTATCTTGTAAAAAAAATCCCATTAGATCAAGTCCCCCAAAGGTGAAATCTGTGTGTGTTGTGCAGTGGAAGATATACCTGCCAAAATATCCCCGACTTCCTGCTACATGTATAAGGTGATAATTATCTGAAATTAGCTATACGTTAAAGCTGCTAAAGAAAGAAGGTGAGAATATTAATTAGTTTGTTCATTTAAATTAAGGAAAGAGATGATTTCTAGCAGCTACCTAGAGGTACTGTACACTTGAAAAATGGATTCCGAAATAGCTGAGAAATAAAAACCTTACAACATAAGTAATGGTTATCTGCAAAAATGTTTTGTTTCTGCTCTAAAGTTGATCATGGTACTTGAGATGTATTTTTAATTTTTTCATACTGTTCTAACAGAAACCCTATGGTTATGTCATTCTGCACTTCTTAGGCCACAAAGGGTTGAGCAACAGCGTTGATCAGAAATCACTGACTTTGGACTCAGAGGGGATGTCCACCACACAAGTGATGCAATGTTTAAATAATAAGCAAGCGTCCGAAGGAACTAAATGAGAGCATGTGTTAGATTATCTTAGCTGGAGCTAGTGATGTTGATGCCACCACAGGAACAACCATTGTACGGTTAGAGAGTTTTCCCTCATTTCCGTCTTGTGCTGCCTTAGGGTGTTTAGCACCGCAGCTCTCACCTCCTTGAAGAGTGTCCTTATCCTGTGAGAGAGGCTGGCTAAAGGCATGCCTCGTGCTGCCTGCAGTAGCTGGGCCACCGTGCAAAATCTAAAACAAGAGGCATGGCACTAGAAGGAAAATAGTCATGATCCTGTCCGCTGGGGACTAAAGGCTGTCCTCCTAAAGCCAACTGTATGTGTGAAAGAGTGAGGAAGAACATGTTACTTAACCATCTGCTCACGGCCTTATTATTTGTATCATTGATCCTTATGGGTCCCTTCCAGCTTGAGATATCCTATGAGTCTGTTCTATGATTCTGTGTCTGGTCTGTAGATGAAGCTTAAAGCAGAATGCATGCCAGGAATGTAAAAAGGCAATCGTGAAATTATTGTTTTTCAAAGTATGTAGAGTTGTAGGCTGTTATGCAAAAACATAATGCTATAGTAAAGCTGTTTTAAGAAGCTTTAAGCATAAGGGTTAAGAAGATGAGTATAATCTCCCGTGCTAGAGTGGGGTGTCCCAGCTCGCTGTGGCTACGAGCCAGGGGTAAGCCTTCCGAAGGGTTAGGTAAGTAAGAAGTGAGTCAAGTTCACGAAAAAGAAAAAGGGTACTCGGAGCTCTGAGCCGTGTGTGTGGTTAGGGTTTGTGTAATTAGAAAGTACACATGATTCGCTTTATTGCTGTCGTGAATCAGCCTTTCACATTAGCTTGATTAGCTTGAATAAGTCAGCATGGTCGGTTGAGTACTAGGGACGCTTTTGTCTCGAATATGGCAGCATTTCTGACTGGTGCTCTGTCCCATAAAGTTTTTGGTTTCTAAAAATATTTTCATTCATAAGAGAAAATGTTAGTCTTGGTGTTAAAAACGGCAACACATCGTGCGATTTATATAGATGAGATTGGCTGGGTACACCAGCCTGAAGCATGAATTTTGATGCGTGATTAATATTAAGGCTGATATTATGAAAAGTTGCTAAATTGGTGGGTAGGATCAATAGAATTCTTTTTTGTTTTGGTTTGGTTTTATCATTAAGTAAATGTATTATTCCCAATATAACTGTCAAATCAAGGCAAAAGGGAAAATACTGTAAAATTATTTGCTAAAACTTCTAACACAGAGAGAGGGAATCTTTCATGTTTAGAAAAAATTGCGTGCAAAAATCCAACCCAGTTTCGTTTCTTTTTTTGGTTTCTCTTTATTTGCCCACTGTAGTCTAGGAGCAGAGGTGGAGACGGCATCACAGCTCTAGGGATACTTCGTGCTTCAGCATTTCCCCGTCAGAATGACAGGGCTTTTCACCCTTTGGGGATCACCCCAAGAGACATACAGCAGTAATCTGGTGTTTCAAAAGTTTTACTGAATAGAGAGAAAATGGAACTGGGAGGAGAAAGAACTGCGTAATATAGCTTTGTATCCCTTTCGTGCTTCATCAGAAACAACACCCTCAAGCCTAATTATACAGGGACAAAGGACAAAGAAATGATTGGCCTTTCTTGAAAAAAGACTGCTTCTTTCTGGCCAGGGTAGTGCTAAGCAGAGAGCTCCTCAGCTTTACTGCCTCTTCGTTCTCCACACGCTTCACGTGTTTTGCCAAATATTTTCTCAAGGCAAAAAGAGAAACTGATACCAGGTTGTCTTCCAGGCAGCAGTGCAGCGAGAAAGAGAAGACGTTTCAGTCATGATCGATATGTGCTTTTTGGGTTTTAGCAAGTACTGCCATTCACCAAGAAACAAATGGGCTGTTTTATGTGAAGTCTTTGGAAAAGCAGATTCCAACTTTGGTTTGCTCCTTAAATCCAGAGATAGCAAAGCCATGAAGTGAGCAAACACCCCCACATACACTGAGACAGTAGTCCCCCTGCTCCTCATATGCAGAGACATTTTGTAGTTAGGGATACAGTTCCAGCTTTTCCTTGTGATTGTAGACTGGTTTGGAGTAACAAATCTCACTGACTGGAAACCAAAACCGATGCAGCTACTCATGACCACTTTCTGTATTTTCCTGTAACTGGGCTAACTGTGCAAGGGAAGAGGATCTAGTAGTTAGTAGAGGAAAATCTATAGTTTTGAGAATGTAAGGAAAATTGAATATAAAAGTTTTAAGGTCTGCCATCAAGGAGCCACAATGTATGCTGGTTTTAACTTGCCTGCTTGAGGATTTACTTTGTAGATAACTGAATGGAATAAGTATTTTTATTTAGGTGTACACACACAAAAATATTTTGCATCTTTTATATTCTATTTTTAATTTTATATTATATTGATACCTTTAATGTGCAGACTGTATGTGCATGCTTTTTAAAATAGAAATTTCTTCATTATTTTCACAGCAAACCCAAGGAACCAATATTCAGTGCAGGTAGGAACTTTTAAAGTTTTTAAGCAGATAACAACTGTGACAACATAATAGATTATTTTTTTTTTTTTTTCCTGTGGATGCCTAGAAACGGGTATTGGGAATCTAAACATGATACTTACAGGCTGCTGATAACGTATTTTAAAAAAGTTGATCAGTTTGCTCTAGTTTTTATTGGCCCAATAGGTTTATTTTACGGTTAGGATTCTTTGTAAGAAGACAAAGAAGAAAAAAGCCATGTCTTCTTAGCACAAATATGTCTTTCCTTTCAAAGCAGTATTAAGGTTTTGTTAATTAAAGCATATGCCAAATTCCAGCTGTGATGCTAGTATGTTAATTTAATCATAAAAGGGAGCCCTCAGCTACTGTTAAAGAATGCCATATCCATCCCAATGCCTTGTAATAAAATTTGTCCACTTACAAATAAAACTGATGTTTTTTTACTACAGTTTTGGAAGTGTATCTTTAATTTGAAAATCACTAATTTTTTCCTACTTAGGTATTATCCCTACAAAAAGATTTTGAAAGTGAAATAGTAGGTATAAGTGAAAGCAGAGTTTGTCCTTGTTATTACAGTTACAAACTTTTGAACAATCTCGATAGAGATATGAGGCTGAATAGTATATATGACAGTTATTTTTGTTCTGAAAAAGCAAGGACAACTAAAATAAAAGCTTTCTTTTAACAAAATTAGGAAGGAAAAAACCCTGTTGATTTATCAGATGTATCATATTATTTTTGTGTATAATTCTGTAACAGTAATCATACATTAAGCTGAAAAAGTAGAAAACCTTTTGTTTACTGCAGTGATTGACCACCATCCAACAAAGCTTTTAAGCCATACTTTAAGGTTTAGTGTAATTCATTTTGAACTCAATAATACATAAAACTAAGTAAGCACTGAAGACTCTTGTGACAGTACAATCACAGTGCTTGTCCCTTTCATGTAAACTGTTGATTTAGAAAAAGAAAACTTCCAATTCGCACAGAATATACTTTTCTTGCGAGCGTTTCTCCTTCCATTGAGCTATGTAAGCAAAAGTATTTGGAATAATTGTTCTTCTGACACTTTCCCCATAGATAAAGATCAGTAATTAAACAGATGTGACCCTACTTTTACCCTTCTCACCTGGACAAAATTCCTACTGAAATTAATCATTTTTTTTCAGAGTTATAATTAGCATTTTGCTTACTTCAAGCATCTAGTTGCATAACGGAGCTTAAGCTAGTATTTTATTGACAGAGCCCCTTAGCTGGAGGAAAAAGGTTTTGACTATAATTACCCAACGTATGGCATGGAGGGAGTATGGCTCAGTGTTCTCTGTCAAGTACCAGGTTAGCCTCCAGCAGAATACAACGGGACAGCCGGTAGAGCAGGTATTTAGTGAGTTGATTGTATTCAAACACATCTTTATCTAGCCCTTCTGTCTCTGTCTCTGTAATCACAAGGGAAGCGCCGGGTGACGCACTGCAAAGGTAGGCTTCATTTCCAAAACCTCATAGCTCTCGAAGCAAAACGGTACTGGTGGGATAAAAGCTCAATGTGTAAACAGCTATTTTCTAACTTGCGCACATTTTGCAATATTAAAACTTTCCTAGTTCTTTTGAATGAAGCAAAAATATTATAGAACTGTTATGGCTGGAAAAGACCTTTAAGATCATCAAGTCCAAATACCATCTATTATACAGTCTACTGAATTATAACCCTCAGGTGCACTTTAATAATAATAACGGGTTATAATTTAGATCCCTGTGGCCTTTTTTCAGAAGAATTTGAATTAGAAAAAATATGTTGAGAGAGCTATATGGCAACACGTGGATGTTCACTGTGTTTGAAATGGTGTTCTGCACTTCTGCTGAAATTCATATAGAACTTGCCCCTTTGTTGGCTGTTTCGCTGGTAGCCTAACATGATTATAGAAGCCTTGGTTTTCCCCTTGCTTTTTCTTACTGAGTAGACCGTAGATTTTTCTGAATGTTGAATAAGCAGACCTAGGCCTCCAACTAATTTCTCAGTGCTTTTTGCTCAATGTCATAAAGCAGAGTTATATTTGGTAAACATACCATATTGTTTTCTAAAGCTGTAGCTAAACTATACTGTAAATATGCACATTTTTGATGCATGTTTATGTCTGTGATAGAATCACAGATTTGTCTTGCTTTTTAGAGGTGGCTAAATCCTAACAGTTTTTCCACTAATCAGCATCTTTCAGCTTTGCAACAAATCGAAAATTTCACAAAGCAAAGAAAGTCTTTTGGAGAGTCTCTACCTCTGTGTATTCTTTGTACAATTTTATGCCTGCAAGCAGTAGTGGTCTCCTTTGCAGATCCTACTAGCATTCACGTGCCTTCTTCTTTCAGTCCAGCAACTGTTAATTTTTGCAGTGATTTTTCAACAATTTCAAATTTACAAAATTGCAGATGTAAAAGATACATTTGTCTTTAAGTTTCATCATTGCTCTGTCTTCGTAGTTTGATGATTGTCTGTCTTTACATCTATATCTTCACATGTAGAACTTTGCTGTCTTAAAAAAGCAGTTAAGAAAAGTACAAAGAAAGGCATGTAGATTGATTACATAAATAATATGTTTGGATTAGTAACAAAAATGAGTACAGATGGAATTAATATTACCAAAAGTTAGCAATAAATACACAATATGTATTTCTGTGCCTGACCTGGTCAGCCTAAGTTCCTCTTTATAGTTAGTGAAGAGAGAGAGAGGCATTCTGAAGGCATTATTATACACGTGGTATGATATACTTGGTATAATTTACTATACTTGCTTTTGGACATCTGCTTTAAAATGTGATTAATTTGTCCAAAAGTACACGTTTCTCCCTGTTTACTCTAAAAAGGAGTTTTGAGTGACTAGGTCAAATACTTCCACTGTAGATGACTAAATGCAAGTTTTATGAGTCCCATAAGTTTCAGGTGAGAAAAGCAATTCAGTGGATTAAACTTTTGTTCATTCCCAGCCTTTGATAAGCACAGTCAGTGGTTGTCACTGCGGAAAATCTATTGACTTCCAGTGCACCAGTATCAGTAGTATCGGCATGTGTTTCAAGCTCATTAAATAGATGCTGCATGCGCGTGCAAATAGTGCTGTAACGCTCTGCTGTTTAAGGCTTTACCCTCTATAGTTTATTTTCCAATACAGATCTATTGGAGTAGATTTTTTAAACCAGTTGCAGTGTTTAACGGGCATCTCAAGCTCCATCCGTCACCATTATTTCACCATTATTATTGCTAAGCTCCATCCATCTGTCACCATTATTTCACCATTATTATTGCTTCTTTTTAGCATTAATTTTTCTGTTGTTTTTAGTATATGTGTATGAATTCTGTAACTGAAGCTAGGGAGCCCTCGCTGTAACTTTACTGTGACAGATCAGGTAGATCTCTTGCCCAAATGAATTAGTCTAAAGGCAAAATACACAGATATATAGGTAATACAGCATAGCTATGATGTTTATTTGTTCAACCAGTAATTTTTATTCATTTAATCAGAATTTGTAGCATATGCATATTTCCAATTAAAATAAAGCCTTAGGTTTCAAATTAAAAAAATAATGGTATAGTTGTAATGATACTTAACAATTCATAGCATAATTTTAACAGTCCTAAAGTGTATAATTTTTTTCATTTACATGATTTTGTTACTTCTGCCCTTCCATTTCCTCTGTGCCCACGATTATTCTGTCTAGTAACTCTACAGATGTCACTGACTCCAAAACTGCTTGATTCGCATGAGAACAAGGCTGAACCCCTTGATCTGCCGATGGAGCAGCAAGAGCCAGCACGTTCTGAATCTGGACAAACTTCACCAGAAGTTCACAGGACACCCACTTTGGCCTTGCCAGTTCCCAAAAGTCCTAGTCAGACCTTCATGGCATTTCCCAGATCTCCTAGTTTTATAAGCCCCATGAAGTCCCCAAGTCAGTACTTCCAGATCTGTTATTAATCCCTGCTTCTCTTCCCCCAAAATATTTCTTACCACTTCAACAGAGTATTTTTAGTATTTTCTTCTAGAAATGTTTACTTCTGTCAGCCAATTCAGTTTTTGTAGCTTCTCTCCTGTATGTCATTTTCCTTTCTTTCAATGTGCTGTCAATGTTGTCATTCCTTTTTCAATGTTTAGTAATTCTTAAAGCACATATCTTTTCTGCATGTACATCAGCATGATTCCTTTTACTAATTGTTTGTGTTCCTTATTTTGAATGTATCTCTAACACTGTATCAAGTGTAAGGCATATCTTTACACTGAGATGCAAAGAATGCGACTGAGTGTTGGAAAATACTTTAGATGCTGATGCTCCACTGTAAATATTGATTACAAAATAAAATTAATTTTAAGTGGCATTTCTGCGTTAATTGTAATCTTTGCTTTTTTCCCTTTTATTTTTAATATTTAAGAAACATAATATTGTAAGATTATTTTTCACCAAAAATGTTTCTATTTCAGTGCTTTCAGTTTGTAGTTCTTCATGACATTGTTCTAATTCTGCTGCTCAAAATGTTTAGAGGAAAAAGGGACTTTGTATGTTTTAAAAAAAATATATCTGCTTAATGATTATGATTTAGGAAAAAACCCACAACCTGCTTAGTTTCTAAGTTTGAAATTGCATGTCATTCTGTAATTGTAACACACCAAACTGTTAAGTGGGAAAGGGATGGAGGAGCACTGGAGTTCTCCACTGACGGGTTTTTTGTGTAACGCTAAACATTTCTGACCTTTTGTAGAGGAAGGATACGTAAAAATGTTTCTTCGTGGACGTCCTGTTACCATGTACATGCCCAAAGAGCAAGTGGAATCTTACAATTTGGAAGCAAAAGTAGAACTACCAGCCAAGAGGCTTAAACTGGAATGGGTGTATCCTTTCTGTGCTAGAGGACTACTGGAAAGCAATCATTTCTTAATGATTTGTTTTAGATAACTTTTGAGCTAAAGTATAGCAAAATTAAGCCCTTTATTAATAGGGTTCGTTTCATTAGTGAAGTGACATTCCATTGATATAGATGTTAATTTCTTGAGGCTGCTGTTCTGCACCTTGTGAAGTACAGGGCGGCAGCTTAAGAAAGATTTTGCTTAAATGTTGCCTGAAGGTTAAGTCTGAAGCATGCTAATTAACTAAAGATTAAACTATGCATATTGTAAGAATGTCGTGAGCTGTGAGTATTAATTACAGTACGCATAAAACAAGCTCAGGTTTTTTTGCTGATTCTCAGTAGTTTATTGTTTTAAACTGTGTTGTATAAAATGTGCACCATTGTCCTTTAGAGGATGATATAATCAATTTCAGTACTTGAATAAGACCTGAATCGAATAGCACTTTGCAACTGATAGGTGCTTAGCAATAAAACTCATGCAATATCGTATATAAAATGATGTTTGAATTTAGATTTTAAACTGTATTTAAGCACCATAAATAGTGAACAACCAGAATTTTCCACTGACTTCTATGGGTGGACATAATTACAGAATTCTATCTTGAAAGACATCAGTGTTTGATTACATACAGAAATTTTCATGTTTCATTTTTATATATGAGAAAACATATTCTTTATTGAAAAAAGAAATGACATTTCAATTTTGTATACTCAGTATATGTAATAGATTATTCAAGATAAAATATAAACACAGTAAGATCTGAGTCTATTTGTAGTATCTACTGTCTTTAGAGAGATGGAGTCTTCATAAGGTTTTCTATTTTAAGAAAAATACTTTGTTTTGGTCCCAAAGAGTGCAAATAGGAAGTTGCTTTGTCTTCATGCAAAAGAAGACAGGCTGCATATAGTCTTTTTCGAAGTTTTATAAATAGAACTGCATGTGGTTTCAGAATGCACACAGAGAGTTTCCAAAAGTCCCATTGTATTCACAAGAGATTAATGACAGATTTAGTAACTATTCTTATTATTCCTATTGCAGCTGAGCCTGTGGGTTCTACCCCACTCCGCTGGAACTGCGTAGATAATGCGTACAGAAATAACTGAAGATGAATTAAAAACCAAGAAATCCGCAAAATTAATAAACCAGCTGAGATTAGAGTGATAAATACTGCTTGCAGCATTTTTCCATCTAATTGTTGTACAGACTCTCACCATATATCACAACAGAATTGAATGGTGTCTTTTTACACTTGTAGGGTGCCCCTTGCTTAAGGGGCTTAAGGATGATACAGAAGAAAGTGTTAGGATGCTTGCTGAAACAACGAAAAAATGAACCACAACACAAAACAGACTGTCATTAGCAGTGTGTAGGTGGAAGCTGAAGTTAATATTTCAGACTATTATAAGAAACGATAATTAGAGTATGTCATGATTTCAGTCTTATTAGTTTTTCACTTAAGCTTACGTAGATGACTGAATATTTGCCAGATGGAGTATTATTTTTAGTTTGAATATTCATACGTCCTTCCAGGTGTGTGTCTGTGTACCCAACAGGATCCTATATATAAAGGTTGTCTATGAATAGAAAAAGTATGAATTAATAAAATTGTCTAACTAACTCTGAATGGTTACTGAGGAGGAAACATATTTTTTAAAAAATACTGTATGTGCTAATTTGTTTTTCAAATTTTAATTTCTTTGCAGTTAAACCCAATCATGATATCCATACTGAAATGTTACACCAATGACTGGGTATATAGCAGGCTCAAAAAAAAAACCCCACAAAAACAAGCAAACAGAAAAAAAAACCCAAACCCAGAGCCCAGTTTACAGATCATAACGCTGGGGAGAAAAGCTTAAAATAATTTAAGGAGAGAGACAAAGACAGCAGAAAACCAACTGATATTGCAGGCACTCGTTCCAGTTAAGTCAGAGGAGCTGAGCTGTTGCCTTGGAGGGAAACACAACTGGAGTAGGAGAAAACATCTTTGTAGTGGATAAATCAGCCTGGCTGTGGGATTACAGCCAGAAATGCTTTATAATATAAGGAGGGGGATAGAGAAACACGATGTTGGAGGCGAGACGCACAAATGGAAAGGGCAAAGCAGACTGTGATGGGGAACAGAAAGAATAAAATCTAATGTGTGTAGATTTCAAGGTATACCTGAATCGGAAAGGGGTTTTATAATCACGTTAGCAGATATCTGGGTAAGCTGAAAAAGATTCAGTCCATGTCAGATACATTCAGACAGGAAGAAACAGAAATGCTGAGTGATGGAAGTGTGAGGGAGGGCTGGAACAGAGGCGGTAAAACCTGAGCAAGAAGTTGGCGCTGGGGACATTGGGGTGGGAGTAGTGGTCTGCAAAGATTCGTTTGAGACCAGCTGCTTTGGCAAGCGGGAGGTTTGAAACAAAGGCTGCAGACCAAATAAAAAGAAAAGGTCAAGATAACATTCCCTGAAGTGCCAACTCACCAAATCCAAGTTGGAGCCACCGAATCCGAGTGTGGGAAACCATGAGGAGAAGGGGAGATCAACCCCAGGAGTTTACATCTGAGAAAAAAGGCTGATAGAAAGAAACTGAGTGTTTGACAGCGGCAATCAGGCGAAGGGTTGAATGCAGCATTGTTCCTCACAGGAAGAATTGTAAAGAAAGGAGATTTTTCCCTAAAGAATGTAATCTTTCCCATTTAATAGCTATTTTATGCACAGAGATTTGTGCCTTATGAACATCTGTATAATGTTTTTACATCACTTTTTAGAAAAGTTCAATTCTTCATGCTAAATTCAACTGCTAGTTTATGATAAACTTGATTATGTATTGTTGAACAAGGGAAATTTTATGTTGGCTTCAGTTGGTAATGGTATCTGGCCTTATAGAGAAAAAGAAATTTAAACAAATAATGCGTTGTCCTGCGATCTAGAGCAGTAACTCTAACCTTTACAGACAGATTAAAAATTGGTAGTAAATGCTGTGTAATTTGAGGACATTGGTTGTCTTCATGTCTTCAAATTTGAATATCTGAAACTTGAAGGAACTTTGGCTGAAATATTTCAATTTGGATGTCCAAAAGCTGTATTTTTGAATGCACGTTTTGGTGGTTGGCTATGCAGCACCACTTCTGGTGCATTTATGAGAAAAAATGGGCAAGCTTGTATTTAAGTTCCTATTTTAGAAGTAAGATAACTATAGTCCTTTCTTCTTGGATAACGTTAACATGAGTATTTTAGTTTGACAGAGTTATCATTGACTATAGAGAATAATGCACGAGTATCTTTTTAATATATAATTGGGGTTTCAGTACCTCTCCATATATTTGTCACAGCCAGTTTCTCCGTATTGACTGAATTAGAATGCACTTCTGTTTTGCCAAGATTCTGCTAATGCTGTTTCTCTCTGTTCCCATAAAAAAGGAAAGCCAAAATAGCTGTAGTCCCTAATGACTCTTCAGAATAATAAAGCTACATAATTTGGCTGAATTAACATTCAGTCGAAATGAGATTATTTCTGGATTAATTCCAGTTATTTCATTGGATTAATTTTAGATTAGTGTTGATATGACTAGCATCAGAATCTGGGCCACTGCCTTTTAAATACTACAAAAATAAATTGGAACGGATGACGCAACCCTTTTACGGTTTCATATCCATCTGGCTGGTAATGCCCAGAATAATGAAATCAATCAACCTGCACACAGGGTAATGCAATCAATCCTAATGTAATGCAGGGAGATGTACTGAATGACTTATTAGCGTTTCCATCAAGTCTAAATTTTTATTTTAATTAGTCAAGCAATGTAAATAGTAAATACACTTGGGACAAAATTAATACTGCCTGAGTCTGGCATGTAGCAAATTCCAGAGGATACTAAAGGGATAGTTTTTCTACAAATTCCTGTTGTCTTTACCATTGTTTTCTGTAGGACATGTAGGTTTTCAGTAACTCAAAGTCTGTGAAATGCTTTAGCTCTCTACTGTAGTAAGGAAGGGAGTTCTGAAGGCTGTTGAGTGATAAAGCCAAGAGATGTTGACTCCAGGAAATGCAGGGGCAGAAAATCTATTTTGTTTTTCTTTATTTGTAACATTCTTAATCAGTGGATAATGTTGTTGTAGCTTGACCAACATGCTAGCTATGGATATAGGGGTCGGGACTGCCGCAGTAATCTCTATCTTCTTCCAACGGGCGAAACCGTGTATTTCATCGCATCTGTAGTTGTGTTATTCAATGTTGAAGAGCAACTTCAGAGACATTACACTGGTCATAATGATGATGTGAAGTGGTAAGTCACCTAATAACCCTTCTTTTTTCTTCATAAAACGGTATTTGGGAGGGAATGTGTTGTTCTTTTAATATAGTTTTGAAAATTCAAGTGATTTAGCTTCTAAATTGTGCATAAGTTGGGTCCTTATGGCTGACAGTGTGTTCGCACAATCAAATAAATGTGACTGTAGTCATGGTAAAGATGTCAGATGTCTGTTATAGTTCTATCTAGTCAGTGCACGAAGGAACTGCTGTAAGGACGTGATGGCACAGACCTGAGGATATCCAAATATGTCCCTAACAGAGCCTGAGTTTGCTTGGGAAACCTGCCTTGAAATCTGTGCTGCCGTATGTGCTGTGCTGCCCCGTTTGGATGTGGCTATATGCAATTGCTGTATTGGTGTTCTCCAAGTTACTGTTTTTTTCTCTGAGTTGCTAACATTTGCTCCTCATATTTACTTGTGAAAATTTATTTTCCGTAATTAATATACTTTTTACATTGAGAATACAGCAAAGTAGAAATCTGACTTAATCTGTAGATCTGCTTATTTTCATTACTCTGTTTTTAGGATGATTTCACATTAACTACTTCTTCAGACTCTTGTCCTTCCCCTTTTTAAGTAGGATTGAATTAGTCATCTTCACCTGGGTCTGGGTGCCAAATATAGTTCCTTTAGGCTCAATCTAACCAATGAAACAGTTTTAATCTCATCTGCGGTCTTCCTGGTAGTCTTCAGGCATGTCTACATCACGGCAGCTATGCTGTGATGGTCCTGAGCAGCCTGGTTTATCTGCCGCCATGCAGGTGTGCCACCTCGGGCTTCAAAGCGATTTAGCTGTGTTCAAGCTTAGAGAATAGTAGATAGTGGGAAACATCAGTATCGTTAAATTGAAATCTAAATAAACACATGGTTTCTCTTGAGGGTATCTGTCTGCTTGCTGAGTGTAGCTGAAAAAGAGCACCCGGATTATCTGATGGGCCCTAATGTATGAAATGAGCTTGACATCCCTTCTTTAGATTAAGCATTATGAAACACCTGTTGTCCCTGAAAGCCCAAAGTAAACCCGATGACCAAATCTGGTTGCATTGTCAGCATGTTTCATAAAATTGAACGATTTGTATAATCTAGTTGTTTTGCAGGGAGATTTTAAACTTGGACCTGTTCCATCTTATTTCTTTCTTTGAAATGTTCTGACTCTAGATATTTCAAAGCTTCCAGGTTTCTTAGAAAGAGGATACCTTTCTGCATTGTAAAGCTGAACACGTTATTGCCACAGTTCATTGTGCAGGGCGCTTTGCCTCTAGAACTGTATGCAAAGCAGCTGCAGTGAAAAAAGAATTATGAGAGAGTTTAGGGCAAAAGTAGACTGTACTCCAGGTTATAGTACAAAGTTTAGGTTGTTTTTTTTTTTTCTTAGAGATGTTTGAAACTGTAATGAACGTTAAACTAAAATCTCAGTTTCAATTTTAGAAATCACATTGTTCAATTCCTGTTTTCAGTATCCTAGTTGTTGCTTACTAAAGGAATTGGTTAACCTCTTCAAAAATATTAGTGAGAAGTTGGTATCTCTCTATAAGAGTTGCTGAATATCTGGTCAATACAGTCTAAAGAGCAATGTTGGAGTGGATACACATACATTTGCTCTGGAGGATTGTTGCTAGACAGCATTGACTGTACTGACCGGGTCTCTACAGCCTCTGATTAGAGAGATCTGAAGTTAGATAAATAGTGCAGACTGTAAACTCCTTATACACTGCAATCACTTTAAATCTAGGTGAGATGAATCCCAACATAAGTAAGACTGAGGCTTGTTTGATACATGCTTTGCGGTATTAGGGCTTAAGCAAATTACTGCCGTGTTCACAAGGGAACAGTTGTTTTTTTTTAAAAAAAAAGAGCACGAAAATTGTTTTGTCAGTTCTGTTTTTATATTTTTAAAATGTTTACATGTATGCTGTGTTACTTATGACTAAAATCAGACTACTTATTTCAGGCTTAAGTAAAAGTCTGATGAAATAGGTAATAAATGGCTTTAAGTTTGGCTTCTCTTTCTTTTCTTTAGCCTGGCTGTCCATCCTGATAGGATCACTATAGCAACAGGTCAAGTTGCAGGGACATCCAAGGATGGAAAAGTGAGTGACTGTTTTGCTGACATAAAATTGATTGTCTTTCACAAGAATATGCTATCCAGAAGATACATGCTGTATTCTTTCCATATTGTAGTTAAATGGGCCTTACATTTTAGGACTGAACCACAAGCAAAACTTTATTTGACAGTTTCTATTGCACAATATCGAAGTTACCCAGATCCATTATCAAGATTGGTCAGTGGTTTCTGGTTCTGTTACTTACCTAGACTGAAGGTAAATTTGGAGCTGGTGTCCAAGAGAGACATGGAAGGATGAGGCTACAAAGGAGACTTGGGAGGGCAGACGGATGTGGGAAAAGGAGGAGAAGCAGCGGAGATTAAATTGTACACTGTACCACTTCATTTCTGACCGCACAGCTACCAAACCAAAGTACAAATAAGAATGGCTTTGGGTTGTTTGCTGAAAAAAAAAAATAAAATTCTTACTCTTGCCATCATCTATGCAAGAATATTTTTCTCTCTATTATTACCTGTATTATTGTAAAGCTTAGCTGTAGGCTAGGAATTTATTTGAACAGAGCAAGATGAATGTTGCTCCAAAGAGCTAAGACAAGTGAGAAAGAATGGGTACAAGCAGAGGCAGGAAAAGCACGAGGAAGAAGTTACTCAGCCGAGTGTGCAGCTCATGTCACAGCCAGACTATTGCAAAAATTTTGAAAATGTCAAAGAAGAACTTTAGGATAAAAAAGGATTATCAATGCGCTAACTACTTTAAGTAAATGAAGAAGGCAAAATCCCAGTTATGCAATATAAGGTTTATGTAAAGATAACTTTGTTGAGTAACATAAGCTATTCATTTTATTGTGTGTTGGAGAAATCTCTGGTATTATTTTTTTTAACTTCATAAATACAATTACCATTGTATCTGTGAAATAAAATCTAAAGGTTTGATGTCGATGCTTGAGGGGAATGCGGTATACAGGTAAGCCATTTGTATAACTGAGGTACTGGGGTGGCCTTGATTTTTGTTATATTTTTGTTTATGTTAAAAGGCAATTTCACTACTTTTGAGCAAGAAAGAGTGATATCTGCTCTTTTTATTTCCCTGACACTAATAAAACATACTCATTTCATTTGAACGGGCAGGGGAAAAAAAGGAAGTAAAACACGGCCTTTGTTGTTCTCCTGCAAAGGTTGATGATACTGTGTTAAACTCCCAACTATTTTTAAAGTAAAACTTAATGAGCAAGTACTTCCTGGGGTTGCCCTCTAGTGGACTTGAGAAGCAGTGCTGTCTCCAGGAGGTTCCGCCTGCGCAGGGCTGTCTGCGGTGCAGAAGTCAGAGCCAGGGGAGACCACTTGGCTTTCGTCAAGGAGTTGATCTTGGGCCATTACGTATACTTCAAATTTCATGTACAAAAAAAGCAATCTAGTTCTGATTACAGTTGTACAGTTCTTTCCTATGGCCATTTTTATGACACGGCATATTTTTAGATTTTAGAAATTTTTAGAAATTTTTAATCTTTTTGTTGCGCTTGCTGTTTGACATTGACCAGAATTAGCTCGGTTGCTACAGTTTAAACTGATGATCCTGGACCTACCAGTAAGTCCTATGTCGCAAGGTCATCAACAACTTTCACTTGACAAAGAATGTCTCGGTGCCCATTAACTTCAGCGAACTAACAGAGATCAGTGAGACCTGATGTCGTGTACCCTCTGGATAGTCAGTCCCAGATATTGGTCCTAAGCACGTTACCCTACAAATGATTTGCTGATTATCTGCACTTACGTGGCTGACTCTAGAGAAGTTCTGATAATTTTCATACCTTAAATTGTGATAAAATGTTTTTTTTGCATGCATTCTCATTTTTAAAATCCTGATGGGTTTTTTTTTGCCACTGTTGTTTCAGCTGTTTTTTTCTGTGTTTGTTTTCTAGCAATTGCCACCACACGTGCGTGTCTGGGATTCAGTAACTCTGAATACACTGCATGTCATCGGAATGGGGTTTTTTGACCGGGCTGTCACTTGTATTGCTTTTTCTAAATCTGTAAGTAAAGTAAATGAGTAGTCATATTAAGAAAGTTTGCCAAAGAGGCCTTTGAAGTCTTTGAAATTCAGCTTCCTTGAGCAAAACAAACTTCCAAGCTTTCTTTTCTTAGCTTCCTCTTTAGAGGAGGAAAGTTTGCAACCCAGTTGTTGACAACAATTTATGTCATTATTAAGGTATCTCGGCAGTCTCAGAGGTCTACCTTACACATAGCATAAAATGCAGTTAATTTCTTCATGGACAAGCAGTTGTAGAAATACTTGTGTTCTCAAAATTTCAGTATCCTTACTTCTTCTCTTTAAGCATCCCATTGCATTTCTCTCTAGATAAAAAGAGTTATTCTCGCAGCAGCTTTTAACCTCCGACATTGTGTCAAAGAATGATTAAAGAAAGACTTTACAGTGGCCCATACCTCTGATTTAGGATTTAGAAAGTGAGAGTTCCCATAGGGGTAGCAAAGTCTTTTGCTTAAAAGCAGCGAAGGATACGGATAAAGGATTGTAAAGAATGAGAATCCTGTTGTTAGCCTCTTGGCACCATCCTTCGAACTCTAGTCTATCAGGGAGGTAAAACAAAAGGTGACACAGGCAGCATCCAAGTTCCGTGTAAAACCATGAGTTTGTAACCTGACACGCACAAGTCTAGAAACCCTCTGTAGAACAGAATCCGTAAGCAATGTATGTGGTGCTGTCTGGTTGTCTCGGCAGCATTTTTAAAGAGGAGAGGACTAAATGGTGTATTCCACAAGCAAAATGTACTTCAGTGAAAGTTTCCATAGGTACTTGAAATCTATCGGTGACAATATTATCTAGAAAGTAGAAAAGAGAGGAATGGATTGGGAGAGCTGGTTAAGAATACAAAGGTGAAAGACAACACAGTTCAAGATCATCTTTGAAAGATACACAAAAATGAGTAGCAAGCAAATACTCTGTAAATATCTTTCTGGAGGATGAAATATGTACTCGATAACAGAGGGTTGCTATTGGCAGATGCCACAATGTTTAATATGTTTGCTTTATGCTGTGATTTCTCCGTTGTAGCTTGGTCTGTTTTGACCATCGCTTCCTATCCCATAGCAGTACTGCTTATCTCATTTTAGACAGCCCTCTCTTCAGGCTGCTTAGTCCTGTCTCTCTCCCACCTCTTGAGTTGCACTGTCACAGTTATTTTCGTAGCTGTGCTTAAGATGTGCATTAGGGACTTGATTCATCAGGAAAACAACCAAGCAACCTTATATAAACACAAAATGAAACAGAGTTTGCTTGGGCCTTCCCCCCTGCCCCAGCTTGGATCCATTCCCCAAACAGGCTCACTCTATGATAGTCCAGACATTTTTGGTGGCTCAGATCAAGAGGCAGCAACGAGCGGTTGAGCTCTGGGTGGCCAAGGAGGACTGTTTCTGTCAGCGTTGGTGACAAAGGAGTGCTGGTGGAACCACAGGATCAGATTTTTCCAGCAAGCTCATCTGCAGTCAAAGCTAGTATAGCTGATACCTGGAGCAACAGGATGCAAAAATCGTATTTGAGTGTGTTGGAAAGCACTTAGACATTATTTGATAGTTTATTCCACTGTAGAGACACAGCTGGGAATAAACACCAAAAACTGGAAAAAATGGCCCCAAAACTACCTTCCAGTTAGCAACTGTTTGGAAAAGATCTGATGACTGTACAGCAGGGGCCATCGCTAGTGAGACAGATGTCGGTCAGATCCCTTCAGCTCAGGTGGAGTCTCAGTTGGAGCTCCTCATCCAGGCTTTGGATTCACACATCAGAAAAATGGGTACCGACTGGAGAAGGTCTAGGAAATATGATGCATGAAGAAAGACTAAAGGAATCAGGGTTGTTAAGATTAGAAAGAGTGACAGAAGACGTAACTATAAAAAGACACCTGCCATGAAGAAGTTGTTTTCTAATTTCTTACTGCGTTCCCTGATTTTGATCCATTATTCCTATATGAAGAGTAAATTTGTTCCCTGTGTCCATAGCAGATCTGACAAGAAGTAATTGGCTTAAATTGTAAAGAAAGAAACTCAGTATAATTATCAGGAAAAGCTTTCTTAATAGTATAGGTGCAGTATGACGTCTAGTTTGCCTTGGGAATTTCAGTCACTGAAAGTTTAAAGAGAGATACCTGTCTCATTCCTGACAAACTCTGTTTGTCTACGGTTTGCAAGAGTTCCTCTTTTAGATCCCTTTTAGCCCTATTTTTCAATGATCCCATGAATTACTATATTTCATAGAGATCTATGGGATAACTCAAAATATAACAGTTGAAGTGTCAATATTTCACTTTCATCTACACGGAAGTATTTATTTATTTTTGAATGTGTATTTATATATCTCTGATGTTGGTTGGGGCATGCATTAATGTTTTCCATGTTTTGCCACAGAATGGAGGAAGTAGCCTGTGCTCTGTGGACGACTCGAACGACCACGTGCTTTCTGTGTGGGACTGGCAGAAAGAAGAAAAGCTGGCAGATGTCAAGGTGTTGCAATAAGATATTTTGTGCTACTTGCTTGTATGTCAATTTGGATTTCTTGTCATAAAATGTCTTTCTCTATTTAACTTCTTGGGCCTTTTTAACACTTTCAATTATAAAAGGCAAAGAACATGAAAAAGGGAATATTTTGTCTCTATTGAGATTATCCCAACACCTTGCTTTTTTTAAATTTTGCTATTGTTGTCATTCTAGAATTGATTAGAAAAGTCTAGGCAGCAATGATAGGAGCATGTTCAAAAATGAAATGTCTTAAACTAATCTTTTGTGTAGAACTTCTCATTACCTGACGTGATTTTGAAGGATAACTTTTGATACTAACTTATAAAAACACAACATCTTTTGACTTCAAAGTATTCTACCAAAGTATTCCAGACTAAGTAATAAATTAATAGCTCAGAATTTCTCTTATATCAGGAGTTGATCAGTTTATCTAATTAGAGAACCATTTCATACTGTTTTGTTTTCTTTAATTTTAAATTTTGATACAATGTTTTTCTTTTTTCCTTCCAAGTGCTCTAATGAGGCTGTATTTGCTGCAGATTTTCACCCTACTGATACAAATATAATAGTTACTTGTGGAAAATCACACCTTTATTTTTGGACACTAGAAGGGAATTCCCTTATTAAAAAGCAAGGATTATTTGAGGTAAAATATAATATTTCCTTAATTTTATGTTTATAGTAATGGTACAGTGATACAGAAGTAAGGGTTAATAAGGTTTGAGCAAATCTAAACAATTGATCATTATTAAACTTTTGCTGAAACTCAGGTGGCATCCATGGTACGGCACAGAGAGCTTTTCCGTGGGTAAAACTTCCACAATGGAGTTTTGAAATGTAGTTACCATTTTGTTCCTTGCATTCTTTTTCCTATAGTCTGTATGCTATGTCCCATGTCTATCCAGGCCCTGTCCTCCACCTCCCCCCCCCACTCCCCCTCAAAAAAAAAGTACCTTGAAACTCTCTGTGCTTACCTCAAGTGAAAAAAAAGAGAGTGTGTGATATACACTGGGTTGGGTTTTGTTTTTTTTTTTTCTATTTTGTCAGAGGATAGACTTGCAAAACCCTATAAATTTCATGAATATGAATAGTCTTCCCTTTTCCTCTGTTCTGCTCGGATACATACATATACATAATTCAAACACAGATTGAGCTGGCCGCTATTTGGTAAATGTAATTCTCATTTCAAGGTCTTGATCTGGTTTTGTTCTTAAATATAGACTAAGCTCTACAGCAGTTGCATACACAAAGGAGGGTCTGCGGTGACTGCAGATCATTCCAGTAGGGCCTAGTTAACTGCTTGTGGAGTCGTGGCTCCCAAGTATAGTCAAAACAAATATTTTGCAATGTCATTTTATCAGTTTTGTGTGAAATCGGGAGGGGATGCTTAAATAATGCATTAAAATTTCGTTACAGTTTATTTTTCATTCATTTTTAACTTCTAAGTTACTTGGGCAGATTTCTCCCTCTGTTATTCTCGATGGTTGTTGTGGATGGAAAAGCGTGGTGGCCATAGTTGAGAACGTTCATAGTTTGAGGGAGAAAGAGACCATACACCAAGTCAACAAACACTGTAAATAATGTCCTTGGAAGCTACTAGCTAGTGAATTTTTTTGTCCCCTTATATATTTCACTGTTTTGTTGCTGTGAGTATTTTAAATGTAGGGTTTCAAACCAACGTTTCCATTACTGAACTTTAGGATTCTTTCGCGAGATGATTCCTTAGTTCTTACGCTGCAGCGAAACTCTCTAGTAATACTTTTCTCCTAGAAACTTTGGAGTTAAAAAGTGCAGTAATAAAGCTTGTTTGCATCTTTGGCCATTTCTAAATAGTGAAAGCCTTTGGGACTATGCGGGAGTTGGGGGATTCGGTTTATCCGAGAGCATTCTGGTCTGATGTCTGGTCTGATGTTAAAAGTTGGCAGGCCTTCTCACACGCTTTGTCCGCAACTTGTAATTAAAGGATGCGGGATTAGGCCACCAACCTCAGCTGATGCATCTTTTGCCCTTGCACAGATTAACTGTTTAGACTGTAGGGATGTGTTTAACTCCTGTGTAGACATTTAAACAGTACTAGAACCCTATGAGACCAAAATAAATGCGTACAGTTAAAATGAATGGGTTGTGTGTTGCTGTGAGTGTATATTTTTCGTAACCATGCAGAAACAAGAGAAGCCAAAGTTTGTCCTGTGTGTGACCTTTTCTGAAAATGGTGATACTATTACAGGAGACTCAAGCGGAAACATTTTGGTTTGGGGGAAAGGTAAGACAAGACTGAAATTAATAGTGAAATTGTAATGTAAAAGACTGATTTTTTTTTTTTTTTTTTTTTTTTGCATAAGTGTAGCCTCATTTTAAGAAGAATAAATTTTGTTTATGTTGAGTTCTTTGCCAAGGCCAGTCCAGCAGATTATGTCTGGATGCTCCTCTACGAGCAGCTGAAGAACATATACCTGACTGCTAGAGCACAGAGTTCTGCAGAACGTGTTCCCTATGGTCAAATGTTGAATCATAGAGCTATGCCAGCTCGTATGGCTTCTACTGATGTAAGGAATGGCAGGAATAGTTCTTTTCTTAATCAATGTGATAGTAAGAAACACTGTTACTGTAATTGATGATCTCCAGTCTTCTATACTGTCACTTTGTAGTGTTTGCAAAAATTATGCCTATTGACATACACTTTAAAAACACAACAAATAGCTTTATTTGTTTTTCTAGGAAGTCAAGCTAAAATATATGCAGATCTAATTGAATTCCTCAGCTTTATTTCAAAAGAACAGATGGATAGGACAAACTTCTTTAAGAAGCATTTTCTAGTAAGAAAAGACTTTTTTTTAGGCAGCAGAAGTCAGTTCCTGCCACGAGGCAAACGGCAGCCACATCCTAAGTGTTTACTTAGTGCGGGAGATGGCCATGCATAGGAATAAGGAGAATCCCCTAAAGGAGTCCTTGTTAGTAAAGGAAGAAGGGATATAGATGACGGCTGCTTCTTATTTACTCAGTGCCTTCTCCCAAGAGTTTTGAAAGATATGAGACCCAGGAAGCAACGTGGCGAACCAGTTACAGAGTTGAGCCTTACTGAGCTGGTTTTGTAGACTTTTTTTCATCCAAGGACTTTTGGCCAATTATCTCCTTGTGCTTTTGGCCAACACGCTACTGTTGAGGACAGGGGTGGATACAGTGTTTGTAACTCAACTCCTCTTTTATTTCCCTTTCCCTTTTTCTGTGATAGTTTAAAACAAGACTTTTGAGCACTTTTCCTTCCAAATGGAGTTTTGAAATTGCATAGTCCTATCTCCTCCCTGTTCTTGGTTGTTATTTGGGACTGCCAACAGAGAAGGGAGACAGTGGCAGCTGCTGGCAGGGCAGGGTCAGTGCAGTGCTCTGGGGCCGGTTTGCCTTTGTGCTGGTAGGCGAATTTCTGCCTTGACTGCAAGCAGCCTCTTCTGTCCTGTCTCCCAGTAATGAAAGGGAATTCTTTATATGCTGCAAGATCTCCTCACCTCTGCCGATTCTTTTGGGATGGACAAAAATGTTGTTCTTGTTTTTCTATCTTAGTACAGCATGCTTTCTGTGTCTTTACTGGTTTTGACTCAGAGGTCTATGTTCAAGCGAGGGCTGCTTCCACCAGTTTGGAGTACCCTTAGCAAAAACTTCTCTTAATAGAAATCACTTGTAACTGACACATTATATCCATAGATGTGGGTAGAAGCAAATGGGATTTATAAAGGAAAAAGCAGTTGTTTCTTCCTAACTTGCATCAGCCCCTCGCTTGTGCTAAAGAGAAAGTGAGCCAAGTAAAGAGGTATGGGCTCTTTTCGGAGATTCATCACCTTCTGCCAGATGCACAAAGAGCTCTAGCTTAGTCAGGTTTTGGTGCAAGTTCAGTGTCTGGAGGATAACACGAGCCTGGTTTCTTTGTTGATAAGGTGCATAGTGCTACTGCAGGTCAAATGTGATGTCGAATGGTTTAGCTTAAACCCCCATGAAAAGTTTAAATGAACCTGTTTTACTTTGTGTTTGAACTAGACTCAGTGAGTATGTATACTTTTCGTTTTTTGAGAAGGGGGCAGTATGTTCTTAAGATGTACTAATTCAGTCTCTCCTGTGGGTCTGAGCATTTTGGTGCAGCACTCCATGCCCACGATTATCCTTGACGGGTAGTAGAGAAATGGAGAAAAAAAACTGGGGGGGAAAGGAGCTATTAAGCTGATTATTTCAGTAGTAATATCTTTTCTCCTTCTATCTAGGTACCAACAGAATAAGCCACGCAGTTCAGGGGGCACATGAGGGAGGAATATTTGCGCTGTGTATGCTGCGAGACGGCACACTAGTATCAGGAGGTGGAAAAGACCGAAAGCTGATATCTTGGAATGGAAATTACCAAAAACTTCACAAAACTGAGGTGATATCGCCTTACTTGAAATGACTCTGCTACTCACAATGAAAGTTTAGCTGTCTTCTGAACAGAGCCTTTTAAATCAGTTTTTTTCTTATGGACGTGTATTCTGTGGGGAAAGCAAATCAATGGGAAAATGTAATATCATTTGAGTCATCAGGTCATCCCTGTGATAGCCTATTTATTAACATAATATTTCCTTTTTAAGGTCTATGATAACTGGAAAAAAATCTTGTATTCGTACTATTTCATAATATTTCTTCCTTTCCTTGCAATTAATAATGTGAGGTCGTTTTTGATTTCAGAGTATTACAATATTAAAATGTCTTTGTACTTTCCTTTTTTCTGAAATTATGTGAGGGTTTTGGGGGATTTTTAGTACTTACATTTTTTCATTAATTTCTTGATTAGTGTTGGTTTTTTTAGAAAGAAATTCTGAAAAGGAATTCATTTGCTATGGCTTAAAACAATTTAAAGCAGAATTCGTTTGGACAGAGCTGCATGACTGTTTACATACTGAATGTAAGAGAACAATCAGCATAAAACTCTGAGGAAAGGTTTCAACTCTGCTATATATTATTAAATGTTGCAAATAGACATGCCATTCCAGTTGCATAGATGTTTTGGTAATTTGGTTTTTAACACAGCGCAAAGTACGTGCTTGTTGTGCTCTTTCTAACTGTGGCATCCTTTTTCTCTTATTTGTTCGTACAGTGGTATTTCTTGTTATTTTAAGTGTTACATCTTCCCTTGAACTTTATATTGGAGATTTGCACTGACTCTTTCAGAACCTAGGCTGCAATTAAAGAAACATACATTGTAAGAACGTACAAGTGATACAAAGCCTGACACTATCTCTGAGTAGAAATGCTTAGTCTGATATCACAGTTGCAGTTAACATATGATCGAGTTAACGCAGCATGAAGGAACCTTTTCTGTTTGTTGAAATACTTGGCTTATCTGTACAAACGGAGTGTTCTGTAGATAAGGATGTCTTTTCTTGTAGTGTTATAAGGACAGTTACTGAGCTCATGCAAGTTGTTACAAACTTTTGAAAGTCAGGCATATATATTCATCCATTTCATTTCTTCTCCGTGCGACATTTATTAAAATGCATTTGCGAGGCTGTGTGTCTTTAAAAATAGCAACGCTCGACAAATTGTCTGACTTATCTATCTGTTTGTCTGTTATGACCACAGATTCCAGAGCAGTTTGGTCCAATAAGAACAGTAGCAGAGGGAAAGGGGGACGTTGTATTAATAGGAACCACTAGAAATTTCGTCCTACAGGGCACGCTCTCCGGAGACTTTTTCCCAATTACCCAGGTAAGCTGTTGACTTACAAGAACGTTTCTAAGTATGTAATAGCAGTAAAAGTATTGCTTAAAGTTAAGTTTCATAAATATGCATTTATTAGATTTATTATTAGAGTACTTTTGGCAATAAATAACATAATAAATATGCATCTGTCTAAGCCAATGTATTTTTGTAATGCTTTAATACATAGTTTGGTCATTTTAATCTTGTTTTGATGGTACTGTCGTTTGTCCTTCTTGACAAGAAACATTTCTGCTCTTGTAGGGTCACACTGACGAGCTTTGGGGACTTGCTGTCCATTCCTCTAAACCTCAGTTTTTCACTTGTGGACATGACAAACACATTACCCTCTGGGATGCTACCACTCATCGTCCTATCTGGAACAAGATTATAGAGGTATAAATTTATTAAACACAACTCTACTTCTCTTCTAGGACTTCTCAAGTAATTTGAGTTTTTCGTAAGATTATTGGTTAAAAATATCTTAAAGTCTTAACTTGAGGGGGAAAAAATGAGAGAGTTGTAAAATTTGTCTTTCAGAAAATGGATGTAAAACTCTTAAAAAAAAAAAATAATAATAATTTAAACCCCTGGGTTATATGGATCTATATGCTGTATCATATAGAAGTGTGCAGTGCTGTTGACGTTTCTATTTTTTTACTAGGACGAGAACCACAAATATAAAGCTAGAAAATACTTATTTAAAAGTAGTTCTGATCAGGAATGTAGTATAAGAAATTAAAAGAAAGGAAAACATCAGTAGTTCTTTTAATCAAAAAGATGGAAATCAATAACACGAAGGGTTTGGCCTGAGAATCAGGCAGATAATTGCATTTTGCTACCTCCTGATCATTTTAGGGTTTAAGGTATGTTAATAGGATTGGGATTTAAAAATAAGCTCTCTCCCCTTCAGTCTTTAGCAGCGCTGTGGTTGGGCATCAGAGGAACGGTCAAACCTTGAGACACACCAAAATCTTCATGTGCTTGCAAATCTCTTGAACTGCTACCCAAGATGCCAAATGCAAGATCAGATAAATACCAGCACGCTTAGGCTATGAACTTCAGCAATAAGATGTATTTTTAAAAAACAGCGAGCAGTTATAAACTGAATTTTCCTTGGTAGATTGTCTAAGAAAAGATAAACGGGTGCCTTTTTCTCTTTTGAAGTACAGCAGTAGCAGTGTGCTCTGTTGTACGGTATGGAATAGGAACACACTAGATTGCAGAAATCCTTCACGTGCAATTCAGAATAACTGAAACAATGACACAACTGGAAACTTACACGTAGACCTTTCTGGTCTTTAGCATACTTTTTTGTGGAGACCTAATTTGATTATTTAGAAATGCCACACTGGTTTTGTGCAAGTCTTTTATCAGTATCATGAAGTGTAAAGTAAAATCATTGGTACCATTTTTTATGCTTCCCTAATGCTTTCCTAATAAATTTCTTTTTTTCTTGGGAAAAGATCATCACATAATTCAATTGCAGGTCCTAATGTGATCCTTTACTCGCTGTAACGGTCCATGTTTTTGTATACTCACATACACTTTCCAAAATGCTGGGAGAATAAGAAGTTAGTCCTTCTGGTACATTTCTCGCTACAGGAATGATACACTGAGGAGGGCCTGTAGTCATGAAGAGAAGTGCAAAATTTAGCACTTTGCTCTCTTGCAGTCTACAGAAGAGAGCATTTAGAAGTTTGGGTTGATAGTGAGATGTCATTAGTGGAGATAAGTACAATATGGGGAATAGGAACAAATCTATTAATTAGATAAGCTGCTACCTCAGAAACAAAGTTATTTAAGTAATCATCAACTCAAAAAGGACATTGTTTCCACTGGTTTATTCTTTGTGTCCTCTGAAAAACAGAACTGGAGTTTAGCTGACTATGACTTACAGCGAGTTTCAATTAATATTTAGCTGTGGTTTTGCAAATATAAGACACTGAGAAACTGCTGTTATTGAAATGTTTAAGAAACTTCTTTCTTTACTTGGATTCTTTTGAATGGCAACAGCAGTAGGACTATTAAACTAGACTTGGAGGGGTTTTTTTCCCCCTCCAAATAGACACCGTTTCATTAAGACAAGATTTCTATTATCAGTCTTGACAATAATCTTGTTCTTGACCATTTGAAATGTTCGAGACTGTTTCATAAATCAGTGACTGATTATCCAGAGTAAATAACTCATTTCGGGTTAACCTATTTTGTCATAGAGATCCATGTAAAAGCTTTTTAATGTAGTTATGAGTACAAGTTACTGCTCAGATGAAATTCACTGTTTGAACCTCTGGTTTATTCAGGAGAATATTTTAGCATTTACTGTGAAATTATACTTTAAAACATTAGCAAATTTTCCTTTCTGGACTACTGTAGTGGTTTAGAACATGCAGATAGAAATCCTGCATCTCAACAGTTCTGTAACATTTCTTTAGAGTTAGTAACATATTGTAAATTGGTCGCTTGTTTACAAGAATGAGAATATCCCTTACACATAGCCTCTAGGGCTAGTAATTACAAATTGCTAAAAATATGAACAGGTTTACTGAAATGGCTACAACATGATACTTTTTTAGAATATAGAAAATCAAGAACATAAGCATTTCTGTGAGATGTTACTGGATTTTTTTTTTTTTGCTTACATTTTAAAGTTATTTTTGGCAGTTCTCAGAAAAAGAAAGCTATTTATTTTGGGACTTTCTGCTATAACCTGAAGAGTTCTGGAGCTCACTCAGTGTAACTTGAACAAGTAGTAGAAAATGCTTACCTTGTTTTTAGGCATATGTTAAAATTGCAAGAAAAACACTGCAGTTCTTCCTGTCTCCATCATAATATGCTATGCAAAGTACAATGTTTTAAAATTGCATATCAAAATAACAAACTCACTTTATGCCCTCTATCTCCCACGAAGTTGCAGCTGGCAGGTGCTGGAAAAGGTGTTGGTGTGTGTAGAAGTTAGGCTTTACCCCTCCATGCAAAGTGATACATACCTTTCTTGAATAAGGTACTTGCTTGTCTGTTAGGCAGTAGGTAAACTGCAGCTTTGATACTTAATTCTTAGGTCAGCTCTAATTTAATAAGTTATTTTTAATCTTACTTGTTCGTGATTTGTTGAGAAGCTGCCTTTGCCAATGTTATTGTTACAAAATCACTTGCCAAGTTATTTTTAGATAGCAAAGAAAAGAAAACAGTGGCCTTGTATAGAGGGGGAAAAAAATCTATTGGGTAATATTTCAATCAGTTAAATATGCTTTTTTTTTTCCCTCCCCGCGCTCAAGTTTGCATTTAAAAAAATAATAATTTAAAAAAAAAACAAAACCAAACTCAAAAAAAACCAAGGGTGACTTACTCTGTTCCCGAGGCAGGTAATTGAACTGCGTTTTTGTTATAACCTGGACTGGTAAAAAGTGTATTTTCTTTTGAAACATTTTAGGATCCAGCACAGTCTTCAGGTTTTCATCCTTCAGCATCCGTCGTTGCAGTAGGGACGCTGACGGGAAGGTAAGACGCGCAGAGCTGCACCTTGTGCACCCACAAACACTGCGTGATTTTTCCAGCTCGCGTCCAAGTTGATGTTTGTTTTGCAGAAGTACGTATGACACATGTTCATCCCCGATGGATTGCTATTGAATTTCAGAGGGAAATTCATTTGTGTTGCCGCCGTGCCTAGAAACCCTAGTCTTGGGCCCGTACCCCGTGTTTGCTGAATGTTGCATGGACACAGAACTCGGAGCTGGTTTCTGCCCTGGGAGAGCAGCAATCTAAAATCAGCGGGAGGAGATGGATTTGGAGAGGGGAGGAAGTCTAGGTTAGCAGTGAGACCCTGTGTGGGAGGTGCTGTCACCATATCAGTGACCTAAATGTTAAATCTTTATGGCCATCGTGGCAAAGGAGAGGCTAAGGGAGGGGTTTGAGACGATGAGTTAACTTTGCAGGTGCATACAAAGATCTTCTCTGCGCTACCCTACAAACCCCAGAGGAAGTCTCATAGAAAAAAGTGGCTTGTTGGAAAATTTATCAAGTAGTTTGTCATCTCTAGTGCAGTGACAACCAGTGGCTTTAACAAAAATTTGGCAAATGTTCCACAGTGCTAGACACAGTGTAAAAATGCATATTAAGAGACATGTTCTGCCTGAAGAGTGTAAGGCGTAAACAAGGCGGACAAAACCGGGATGAAAAGAAATCTCTCTATTTTACAGGGCAGATTGAGCCCTGGGGCACATAGTGGGTCAACAGCAGACCCGGGGTTGAACCTCGGTTGCCTGTGGATGGAGGAAGGAGCGCCTTCACCGTAACTTCATCCTCTCCTTTAATGTCACTTGAGGGCAGACTTTGCTGTTAGTAATGAAAACAGTTCCACTTAACTGGCAACATACAGAATGCTTGTATGTTATGAGCCAGGATTATTTCAATCCTAAATAATGGATTTACTCTAGTTACTAAATTTACTTTGTTTACTAAATAAAATAAATCAAAAGGAGAAGCTTTGAGAGGAATCTTTACTTTGTCTTTAACAATTTGATGCAAGTACTGAAATGCAAATTGTCTTTTCTACATGTTTCCACAAATTAAATTTTGGGTTATCAAAATAAATTAAATCAAAATCATTAAAAATTAATAAATTAATTGACTTAAATTAATAAATAAAACTAATCCTATCAAAATAGAATCATCCTGATTCTTGCTTGTGTTTTCCTTTGCTCTAGGATTTAGTGTAGGCGGCAATTTAAACATCAGCATAGCATAGAGGAGGGTCATTAAAGGAGAAGGGTCATTATATGTAAGGCTTACTTTATTCTAATGCATGATGCGTAATAAAACAGAGTAAAATCTGAAGATTGATATCAAGGTCAATTTTTCTGGTTAAAAAACATGGGAAAGAAACTATCTTTGCGTTGAAGTAAAAATAAACCAAACTGAGTAGCAGTTGCTGTTTTTCTTTTCTTGGTGTAAAACTTATGCTATTTTGACAGAAGAAAAGTTGGTCAAGATTACAGTAGGTTTAAATTCCTTATGGAGTGATTTATTGGCCTCTTTCTGTATTTACAACAGGTGGTTTGTGTTTGACACAGAAACAAAAGACTTGGTCACTGTACACACAGATGGAAACGAACAGCTGTCTGTAATGCGTTACTCACCAGGTTTGAGAGCGTTTATTTACTGGTTAAAAAAAAAAAAATGAATTTTTTTTTATTAAATTTGGGGTTGGTTTGTTTTAAAATAATTCCCCACTAGCCATGCTGAAGTTGAAAATAAATACGCCATGAAACATTGCCAACACCGAATGGGTGGTGTCTTAAGCTCTAGTTTTCTTTTCCCTTCCTCACTCCCCCACATGTTCAATACGGTTTCACTGGGAAGGAAGAAAACAAGTATGACGTAACTGTGCAGGTTGTTGCAATCAGGTTAGCTCTAAATGGACTGTGTCTGCTTCCAGAAGTGTCACGTGTTTTTAACAGTAATATTTGCTGTATAAACTTGCTGTTTTGTAATCTTGAAACATGAATCAATACGCAGCTAAAAAAGAAAAAATAGAATTTTATTTTTTCATTTTTCAGGATCGAGGCCTTTAAGAATAGTTTCTCTTGTCTGTGACACGCTAACTTTTCAAAATTAGCCCAAGTTCTTTCTTACAGGAATAATTACAGTTCACTTTTGTGTTTATAGATGGAAACTTCTTGGCAATAGGTTCCCATGACAACTGTATTTATATATATGGCGTAAGTGAAAATGGAAGAAAGTACACTAGAATTGGGAAATGTTCGGTAAATAACTTTTTTTTTCTCCTGGTTCAATATTAACAATTTAAGTATGTTTTGTAGCACTGTATTAATACTGTCGCATTGAGAGATACCGATAGTGCAGTTAATACAATATTTTTCTCCTTGTAGGGTCATTCCAGCTTCATTACTCATCTGGATTGGTCTGTTAATTCACAATATCTTGTGTCTAATTCAGGAGACTATGAAATCTTATACTGTGAGTAAGAATTATATTTAGTCCTTTTGTGCAAGGTTCAGGCAGTCTAATACAGATTTAAAATTCAAATGAGACCATATAACTGCCAAGATAGACCATATGTTTTAACTCATGTGGTGCAATCAAAAATCTATACGATTTGTGAAATAAAAATGTTATCATGTTTTTTTTTGTTTTTCTTTTGTAGGGATCCCCTCTGCTTGTAAACAAGTTGTGAGTGTTGAAACAACCAGAGATATAGAATGGGCCACGTACACCTGTACTTTAGGATTCCATGTTTTTGGTAAGTATCTTTCCTCTTACAAGCTCTTGCCATTCTTGTTATTAACAAACACTTGGATTGGCAGCTTTTTCTTATGAAACGCAACTATTCAGATTTCAGGGAAAAATATGGAACTTCTGTTATGCCATTTTTATTACAATCTGTCCTCTTATTTCAATCCAGAAAGACTCTGATTTAATATTCTTGCTAGTTTCAAGTATAAATATTAAATTACAACATAAGTGGGAGACAAGGAAGAAATCACACGCTGCCCTTTCTGTCACACTAGAGCTGCTTCTCGTCATTTTTAATTTAAAGTACCAGTTCTGTGGAATTACCGTTTATTTAGGCAGCTACTGGACCAAATCCCTTTACTGTGCAAACACAAAATGGGTGACAGTCTCTGTCATTAAGTACTTGTAATGTATTTTGATACAATGCATGGCAATTAAATTAGGTGAAAGGAATGCAAGAAGAAAGAACAAAAACGTAACAAAATCAGAGTGGTTTGTTTCCATGGGACTTCTCTTCTGCCAGTTTTGAAGGAGCTGCTCTCCCCTCGTGCTCTGAAGCTTTGTACTCATTCCACAACGCATGCAGAACTAGACAGATTGTTACAAAAGCTGAGTACGAGGAGCTTCAAATTCTTGAGTACTCAAGATAAAATAGGACACCATGGTAGAAGTTCAGAGAGGAGTCTGGTTTGGTATAAGCAGTAAGCAAGGAAAATTGTCACCCATGTTTCAAATAGAATAGATGCAGTGATGTGTTTGAAGGCAGCCAGAAAGCATGCGTTTTTAGAGCCTAAAGATGGGATGGCAGTAGCAATATGCTGGGAAGACACATTCAAGTTTTGTATAATTTAACTGACAAGCAGTGCTCGGCTATCACTACAACATGCCGATTTAGTAAAAGGAGGGAATCCTAGAAGATTGGCTGCATGTTGACATAATGTGTTTCTCATATGAGGGATGACGGCCCTTACGGAACTATCAACATATTCCCGGGGTTTGAGTATAGCTGACATATGGTTACAGAGCTACAAAGTCTTTGCCTTCAGCATCACAGGTTCAGATATTCTGAGATGATAAATACTTCGAGTATTCCTTACTTTGTAATTTGGATTCATGCAAAATACAGTGCTATTGGAACATGGGGCTGCTTTTGGTACATAGAGGGTCATAGGAGAGGAGTGTCACACCTGAGTGGGTTTTTTTTCCCCCTTTGCAACGGATGAGCTTTTGGAGCCAGACTGTGGAACAAAATGATCTAGTGGGCCAATGGTGAACTTGTGGAAACTGCCTATACATTTTTATACTTACAGTTCTCCATGCTGAACTGCTTTATTGTAAGCTAAAGCAAAAAGGATGAGGAATAAATAAAACTACTAGTTTTAATAATGATCACAGTTACCATTTTAGTAATGACATAGGGATTGTGAGGGTATTCATCAAATGAAGAGAATTTTAAGGAAAAAGGATGTGACTTACTCAGAAAGGATAGGTAATGCACCAAGAGAGAACATGGTACCATATATACTGAGGATTCATAGCTATACAGTTAGGTCCAGACTGGGAAGTTACAAAGATAATGCATAATAATTATAGATGAAAAAAAGAATATTGGTGGTGGGAGGGTTATACTGTTGCCCATCCTTCCAGAAAGATCAAATGAACGGATTTTTTTTTTTAATAGCTTTGGTAGTTCCTTAGATGGTATGAAGGGTACAAACTCTGCTAGCCCAGAGTAAAGATAGGAGTGGCAGCAAGACACAAATTTGGTTAAACTGTTGTTGACCTCTCCTACAAGGAAGAGGAATGCAGAAAGTAGGAGCTGTTGGAGGACCAGGGAGACACATAACAAAGCCTGAACATAAATGCATACTTGTGACAACTACAGAAGGGGCCAACGACAATACTACTCTGCTATGCGGAGAGGAGAGAAGACACTTCTGAGGCTGAAGTGTTAAAAAAAGTGACACTTCTTTTTCTTTTTTAATGTTTTTATTAGAAGAATTACTGCAATCTGATGGCTAACCCGGTTAGTGCCAGTAGTGCAAGGATAAGGCTTCTGCTTTCAGTAGGGAAGGAGTAGATTGGAAAGTAGTTAGAAGCCAGATATTTCCGAAGTGTCTGACTGTGATGAACCTTGTTGTATCTGTAAAAACAACTGGTTGGCATAATTTTGAGTCCATTAGGAATTATTTTCAGGACCTCACAGAGAACAAGCAAAGTACTGGGAAAAAGGAGAGGAATGAATGCAGTATCTGTGGAACCACATATTTACCTTCAGAGCCCATAAGGAGAGGATAAAGTGCAACGTTTGTGGCTAGAATAATAAATTGAAGAAGCTCATAAATTATAAATTGGAAACCAGTCCGGTAATGTTGGAAGTCACTCTACTATTCAGTACTTTGGGGCCTCAGAGCAGCCAGTATTAACAGTCTTCAGTTGCTTGCCGGGATTACCCCACTGGACATAGAAGCAGCAATCACATCGTCAAGGTCATGAGGCTTGTAGTATATTGATTTTTCTGGAGCTACTGGCTGACTGAAACTAGGGATATTTTTCTCACTGGAGTAGAATATGTAAAAACCACAAATAGTACGCGTAGCACTCGCAGATCAACATAACCAATGCAGGGGGGAAAATTAACATTGAGCTGTTGAACACCTGTCTTCAAGCATGGGAACAGATTAGTCAGCCAGGAAATGTTTAAATTCAACTGAAAATCAACAGCATGTGAAGAAGTGTGTTCACGGGAGGATATTTTAGTGATACAAACACAAGGACTGAAGACTTAAAAACCCTTACTGATCTGTATGTTCTTGCGAGAGCCATGCGCTGCTGGATACGCAACCAAGGCATCAGTTCATTAGCACATGCCCCATTGTGGAAAAATTAGTATTTGAGGTGAAGAACAGGAACAGAAGAAATCTAAGACGCTGTGCAAAACCTGACAACGTTGAAAGCAAAGCAGAGCTCAGGGTGGTTGGGCTCACAACTGAGTAGAAGACTGTACATTGAATACTATGTTTGAATATATTTCTTAATAGCATGGCTGATAAAACAGCATGTATAATTTGTAGGTGGTGTGAAGCTGCAGGATTAGCAAGTTGTCTTGAGAAACAGAGGAACGGTATGAAAAAAGGAGGTCGATTCGATAGAGACAAATAGGAGGTTACACACTTGAACAGCAGAACCCAGTTGTCCAAATAGAGAATGGAGGAGAGGAGGCAAGAGAGCAGGTCTGCACAGGAAGATCAGATTACTCTTGCATACAAACTGAACATGAGTCAACAGCATTATGCTGTTGTAGGAAAGGCAGATGCATTAGTGGGATGTATAATGAAAAGGATGCCATGCAAAATGTGAGGTAATTGTCCGTTTATCAGTATCTGCCTCAGTCACAGCTGGAATAGCTGCTTCTGGTTTTTGCACGTTGGACCAACAGATAATGTGCTGAGTAGTAAGAATAATTATACGTCTAAATATTGTTCTGGGAGAAGAGAAGTAATGAATGAATTTTAGAGAAGAGGAGGAGGAAAAAAGCGTGGCATCAATCTTCAAATGAGAGAAAGGAAACGGTCTCTTTCTATGTCTGCAGGGGATGGGGGAAAAACAAAAAAGGACTAATTTTTCAGCGAAGGGGGATTCATTTTACGTATTCTGGAAAACTGACAGTGAGGCACTGGAATAAATTTTGAAAGAGCACAGAGTCTCAAAGAAAAACCCTGATATGATCCTTTCCCCATTTCAAAATGGCCATCTTGTTTCTTAAACCATTTCCTTTAGGGGTTATCTCCAGCTTGTCACAGTGACCTCTTGAGAAGACTCCTGCCTCTTTTCCGCTAGCATTTGATGTTCATACAGCTTCCTTTTTGTCAAAGCAGTTATTTAAAACAGCTTCTCTGTGTCTCTTCATTCTACATGTTCACAATTCCACGAGTAGCAAATTACCGTCTTTCTGCTTTGCACCTTCCTTTTCTTTAAGCTGCTTTTTGTACTGTCCCTGATCTAGCAAAGAGGTGTCCCCACACACAGCCGGAGAGTTAGGGGCGCTCCGCAAACCAACGCTTTGTGTTTTACTTCATTTACAACAATTTGTAATTCCTTACAAAGACATGGAATCATTTCCTCTCAGTCCTTTTGAATTGCCGTGCGATGATACAATGACTGTATTTGGGAAGAGTTACCTGCGGATTGAGGGCTAGCTCTTCCCACAGCGCAGGGCAGCTGCCCACTTTGGTGTTCCCAGTAGCCCCCAGTAGGGAAGCTGGAGTGTGCCTGCCCGGCCCACAGGCATTAGCATCCTTCCAGGAGGTGGGAGGGTAAGCGGGGGGGAGTCCCAACTGTCTCATCCTGACCTGCAATATCAACAGAGGAGGAGCACGTGCTCAAGCGGTAGGACTTCAGGGGGACACTGCAGAGGATGTGTGACATAGGGGACAGTTATTGAAAATCTTAACGCTGAGACAAGGCAGGGTTTGGGTTGGGGTTTTTTTGCCAAATCATAATGGCAGAACACACGTTATAACTGATTATGTCAGTTGTCTCTCAAAGTTAGGTATCATTTCTGTCGAGTAGGGATTAGATAAAATGCGAACTACAAAAATCATACACCCTCCCCCCCACGGTACTGAATTAAAAAAAAATTTCAATAACTGGTTGGATTTTATTACAATTACAATTTATTACAGGCAAGTATTCAGGGATTTAAAGATGTGATGCACAGATTTGGTCCTCGCATTGATGAGCCTACAGTTCAATTTTAGGACACCACTTTGTGCAAGAACAGCAAGGAGTAGAGTACGTGAGGAAGGAGAAGGATTACTTGCAGTAAAACAAAAGCTTTTTAAAAGTTTATAGTAGGTTCAGGGTTTTTTTGAGGGATCTATTAATTACTAAATAACATTTTAAACTATGTAATTTCTTGTTTCGTAGGTTTTAGACTTTAGCAATATGAAGAAAGTATGTTGAATCATATATAGGTAGTTCTTCAGACTACAGTAATATGAAGAAACTATGTTAACTCATACATAAGCAGAAGGGAAAACAAAAGCAGGAACTGTTATTTTTCTACATAACCATATGAAAATTCTTTTAGGCTCGGACACGTGACCATAATTCAGCAGAATTCTTTTTTGCAGAGTAAAAAGCACTTTGCTGACTAGAGAAAATAAAGTATTTGTTTATGTGCTTGATTTCCTATTAGAATCCAGTCTTTTGCTGATACTGAAGTAGCAGCACTGACTCAGCTGCAGTTATTTTTACAGTTTTGTTTTGTTTTTTTTTTAAAACAAGTAGTCCTTTATTAATATTTTAAGAAAAACTTAGACTGTTGCTTTTATTTCCATTATAAAAACCTTTAATTAGTCCCTCTGTGTTTCAGGTGTATGGCCTGAAGGTTCAGATGGAACAGATATCAACGCTGTCTGTCGATCACGTGGGAGAAAACTGCTATCAACAGGCGATGATTTTGGCAAAGTACATCTCTTCTCATATCCATGTTCACAGTTTAGGGTAAGGTATTTCCAAACAATTTACTCTCGTAACTTGCACAAATGCATTACATGTTGTTTTCCTATTAAATTTAAAATTTAATTTAATTTTAAAATACTTTAAGAGAACGATGTGATGCCTTGGTTTTGTTGTCATATGAATGTTATGTTATAATAATATATTTTTATGACAGTTTATATTCTCACTAATGTGGTGTTTTCTAGGCTCCAAGCCATGTGTACGGTGGACATAGTAGTCATGTAACTAATGTAGATTTTCTCTGTGAAGACACCCATCTCATCTCCACAGGCGGAAAAGATACAAGTATTATGCAGTGGCGAGTCATTTAGAGGAAACATCAGTGTGAGCATACACAGTTGAGTCGACCATGCACAGAACTTATGTATAAACTGTATATTTAAAACTTAACAGTATGTTTGCAGTTTAGCCTGGTCACTGTGATTTTTTTGTTAAAAAAATTCTTACAAACCTCAGGAAAATTAAGCCCTGTGCTGGTTACTTTACTCAGTCTAGTGATTTTTTTTTTTTTTCTCATTGTGTCACACCTTAAGAATGATTGTTTGCTCTTCTGTTGTACAATATACAATGCAGTACAAGTTTAATATAAGAAATGTGGCTTGACAGTTTGCAATACAGTGGTATCAGCTGAATGTGACTATCTTAAATGTTTTCTATAAACACTGCTAAAATGGTCACAAAAATGCCTTTCAAAGACTGTATATATGTGCTTATTTGTTTCACTATCTACACTTTGTACTGTATATCTACTTGTTTAGAAAAATCTATGACAATGTCAAGGTACCGAATTGTTTCTGACGGAGGATGATGAATAGATACAAAAAGCATAAACCCAGATGTAAGATGCAAAAAATAACGTTCTAGACCTGAAAATGTGAATGCTGGTAGATTTGCATTCTCGTGGGAATAGCACACCTCGGGTATCACCCATGAGGGGTTGTGTTTCCCTTTCAAGTGAATCAGCAGGTTATGCCCCGGTTTGATCTGAATATCTCAGCAGGGTTTACAGATGTCTGTGTGGTTCAGGTATTCCATATGAGTTTAAATTAAAAGTCTTTTTACTTGTATATGAACAGTTTCTTTTTGAAAACAAAACAAAAAAGCTTGGCCACATCCCCATTATTGGTTGATATATTTAACTAATATGTATATTAATCAGCATGATGCTATATTGTACATGTATAAGATTTTAGCAGTTCATAACAAATGGTAAGGCGATCTAGCTTTACTTTTTTATGCTTATGGATATTGTATATTTGTATTTTAAGACCAAGTAGACCAAGTCTAAAGATATCTTTTTAAGTGTACCATACACCTGCAGAGGGTGAAGGAAGTCTTGGAAGCCTACATGAGATATTAATGTGTAACTTCTGGCCCCTGTGTTTTGTGCATGGATGGATATTTATAGTATGAAATAAGATTGTGTTTTGCAATGAAGTAATAGTGGAGGTGGTATAAAATGGTTAAGAAGGCCTTATCAATGTTGATTGTGACACAGATTGAAATGTATTGTTTACTTTGAGGAATGTATCTGAAGAATTTTAAAAGAGAGGAGTTCTAAGCAGACTCGAAAAAGGTAATATTAAAATTTTGCTTGTAACGGACGGTAAACGTTAATTCTCTGAACTCTAAAGCACTGGTTGTTTAGAGTGATTTAAATGAAATGGAATCAATAAATTTTGAAACTTTTTTTATTACATCTCCAACCTCCTACACTGAAAGTGCAGGACACCAATAAACATGTATTAAAGTGAATTTTCAATGCATTCTTCCTGTTTAGTAAACTTACAGAAGAGATGGGCTTTTACTTAATGACACACATTTGTGATTTCTCGGTTAGAGCTGCATTTGAAAATATTTGGGAATAAAATCTAGATTTTGGGGTACATAATTTCATGCGTGAGCGTGACCCTGGGAATGTGATCCCTAATGAGCACCTAGGGAGTGAAACTCCAGCTTCACGGCAGGGCAGAAGGACCTGCCGCATGCTTTCACCTACAGACTCCCCTGGTTCTGCCTCCTGGTACACATCACTGACCCCTGAGCACTCAGCATGCTCACGGCAAGAGCTCCGGACAATTTCTTTGCGTTAGGAACTTGTCTTCAGGCAAGACTTCTGAAGGCCAGAGTTTCAGGGTCGCTTTAACCTGACGTCATCTAGCGCTGTCACTGAAGGAAGGGGTTTTGCCCCCAGCTGCTTATTCCCATCCCATGCAGCAGCACAAGAGCTATTGTGTGGCCATAGGGAGAACCCAGCTGGGAGATGGACCCATGTTAAAATAAATTCAAAGGAAAAGGTAGGGTGGGAGGGAGGAGGCCAAGCAAGCAAACAACTATAAAACAGAACCCCCTTTTCCTCAGTTTCCTCGTCTGATATAGCTGTGCAGCTGTATGAGTGCTTGTACAGACAAGAGAGCAATGTGGAGAAGAAAAATGAACAGAGGAGCACCTGAACAACTTGTTTTTGATGGTGATGCCAATCTCCCTCTGCTTAAAGTGTGGGAAACTAAGGCATAATATCCCTACCCTTTCTAGGGTTAATCCAATCCTAAGAGCCTGTAATACGCAAGTGAGAGGTTCCCATCTTGTCTGGTTTCTTGGTTGATTCTGCCACGATATCTTCTGTTTATTTTTTTTTTTTTTTTTTTTTTTTTGCTTTTGCAGATGGGGCCCTTTCAGGTTTTCTGCTTTCAGAATTGTAGGTGATTTGTCATTACTTGCAACAGAAAAAACGAGCTGCAAATTGGGTTGGCTCATTCCCTTTTCATCCTTCTCCCACGGTGCTACTCTTGGGATGTACTGATGTATTTGTGATCCTTTTCTTCATTTTAGACTATTACCCCTTACAAGAAATAGATGAGGAATCCTGCAAGTTCGTCCCTAGGGTTACTGATCAAAGGGGATTTTTCAACAATCCCATCCCATCTGTGCCTCTGCTGCTCCTCTGTTTTTAACTTTTGCTGTTAAATGCGTCTTTGTTCCTTTATGAAGACCTGATAAACGTATTAGCTGAATTGGCAAGTGCTGGGTAACATCTTGAGCCAAATATCCGTTTGACGACTGTTAAAGTGATTCTTCTTTCTTTATCCAGGAAATTCTACACAGTTTTGCCATTGTTATATATAATCTTCAGCTCTCCACACTTCCACCCTTGTTCCTTGATTCTTGCATTTATTTGTTTTCTCAGGAGTCTCTTCTTTTTTGCTTTAAAAGAGAAAAAAGAACAAAAAAAGAAAAAAAGGAAAGAAAGAGTTATTCCTGAACTGTGCATGTTTCATTCCCTCAGCAGCGCCCTGGGACTCCCACACCTGATTCCTTCACCTGGTACTCTGTCTGGAGCAGTTGTGGTCTCCTGCCCTTCCATGTAGCCTAAGGCTGGTTCGCAGGTCCATGGCTGGAGCTACGGCCGCGCTTCTGCTCCTGCGCCTTCCCTCCCCAATGGTGGCTGTGGCAGGTGTAGCATTGCTCAAAGAAGAGACTCATCTCTTCATGTCCCTGGTGTTGCTGTTGTCTACCGAGCATTTGGCTACTCCCTTTCAACTTTCTTCGGTTTCACTTCATGTTTCTTGCTTTTCTTCCCTTCATATTCCTCTTCTGTGACTTCAGCTTCCAGGACTGCGACCATCTTAGCCCTTACTGGCACATGGTGCTGCCCTCAACTGCTCTTAAAACCAGTGGCCTTGACTGCCTCTCTGATCGTTTTGGAGCCCAGTTCCCGGTTTCTTCCTGTATCTTTATCCACGCTGCTGCTTTCACTCGCACTTACCGACATCAATGGTTGCGTCTGCTTTCAGCCCCCCCCTCCCGCCTTCCTTGTGTGAGCGTGTGAGGCCATCAACGCTGTCTCCTCGTTTCTCAGTTGTCCTCCGTTTGTCTGCAGGCAGCCCTGTAATGTATATCACATACTTAGATTTTGAAATATTTTTAGGGTAGGGATTTTTTTCTCTGTTGTTGCATGGCATTTAGCAACGGGATTTCGTGATCCTGCGCTCACTGCAACAGTACGACCGTCACATTTGTCCAAAATGATGAGCATGTACGTTCAGGGAACACTTCTGTGTTGGGATATTCAAAGTGATTAGCTACTGAAGTTGATACGATCTCTTCTCTAAGTCTTAAATTATTCCGAAAACAATGCATATGATATCAAAAGACTTCTTCCTCCCTCTTCTATATGCTTGTAAAACAGAGAGACTCAATCTGGTTTTTAGGGTCGTTACCCATTTTCAAGTAGGGACTTTTCATGATTTTGTTTACCTCTCCTGCCTCTTTTCATACATTTATTTTACTTCTAAAGGACACATATTTGTATTATATCAAAACTACAGCCTTTTTCAACTAATTGTACATGTACTACTTGAATTGCTACCTGAAAGATTATTATTGCATAGGTACTTGTGGTAGTGCTTGGTTCTGACAGGTTGGTGAAACCTGACGGGTATTAATGATTTCCAGCAGATGAGCTCTGCAAATCAATTTTGTTAAAATGGATTTTTTTTACTCTTCTAATAATTACAAGGTTAATTAATACAAGGTCATACTTTCTCTGTGAAATGTTTGCATGAAACTTATTCTTCAAAAGAATTAATATTTGAGGATATTATTTCCCTTCAAAATTATTCCTGTGACATGAGCTTGCAAGGGCAAAGAGACCCTTTTTTTGCAAGGGTTGGCGTTCTTCATTTCACAGAATCACAGAATGGTCAGGGTTGGAAGGGACCTCTGGAGATCATCTAGTCCAACCCCCCTGCCAGAGCAGGGTCACCTACAACAGGTTGCACAGGACGGCATCCAGGCGGGTTTTGAATGTCTCCAGAGTGGGAGACTCCACCACCTCTCTGGGCAGCCTGTGCCAGTGCTCCACTACCCTCAAGGTAAAGAAGTTCCTTCTCATGTTAAGATGGAACTTCCTATGTTCAAGTTTATGCCCATTACCCCTCGTCCTATCACTGGGCACCACTGAAAAAAGACTGCTCCCATCCCCCTGGCATCCTCCCATTAAGTATTTGTAAGTATTAATAAGATCCCCCCTCAATCTTCTTTTCTCTAGACTAAAGAGACCCAAGTCCCTAAGCCTTTCTTCAGGTTCTGCTCGGAGAAGCAGGTGGTCTTTTCGTTGTGTTTTCTCCTGCATCCCTGGAACTAGGGCTGTTGACAGATCACTCGATTGCATCCTCCAAAATCCTACAGATGGCAGGGAAAATGTCACTTTAATTACTAGTGAAAAGAACAGACTTCCGAGAAGAAGAAGAACCCTAAACAGAAATCTTTTCCTTCCATTACTGGCCGGGATTCGCAGCCGCGCCGGAGCGGTCCGCTCACTGCCATGGTGCCCTTTGGAAGAGGTGTCCCAAGCCAGAGCATCTCCTAATCCAAAAGGTAGGAGATGAGGAGCCGACTCCTGAGGGGAAGGACAGAACGGCACCCAGATCTGTCTGCTCCCGGACGGAGGCTGCCGGCTGCCGCATGAGTGAGTACATTAGCGGTTCACGCTCTTGCTGGGAGAGATTTACGTTTCCCCTTAGTCATGCAGTTCCACGGCAATTGCGTTTTCCTTAATGCAACAACTTTGCCCCCTGAATTCATTAAATAATTGTAGAAGACTTAAGTGATGATTTCCATGGAGGCATTGCTGACAGTTCAGCCAAAGCTGCCTGCTAGCAGTAGGTGTTGGAGACCTTATTTATGTCAGCGGTGATACCGATGGGGTCATCTGGGAAGGCCACTCAGGGGACCTTTGTCAGCCAGGATGTTTCATGGCGTTGTGGGTTCCCCTTGGGCTCCTGCCAAATGTGGAAGGGTAAGACGGTGCCTCCTTTCGACAGAGCCGCTGCGCTGTTAGTGTCACCGGAATCTGTGGGCACTTCTTTGGACGTTGCATTTTGCCTGGTTTTATGAAAGCTTGAGGTCCTGGACTCCATGGGAAGT